GCCTGAAATCGAAACAAAGCACAATTTCTTCCAAACGGTTTACAGTATGATCATAAAACCTACTGTGAACTTGTACCATGTTACGAAGATGTTATAACTGTTGTTACGTCATCATGACGTCATCAGGTATCAAATTACAAGCGATTTGATTGCACGATTTGACAAAATACTTTGACATATATCTCTTGAACTAAATAGGGTATCGTGTTCGTTTTTTCGTGAGGATGTAGACGGTGCCTTGAGCAACATTTCTTATTCCCGGGCACAAAACTGCTTGACCTTTACTTCCGGTGTTACCGGAAGTGCAATAGAAACTGAATCTAACTCTAAAACGGAAGCATTTTCATACAGACAAATACATTATGGAAGTGTTAAGTGAGGAATGCCAATCACAAAAACATTATTTTGACGTCATCCACGAAAGGGCGCCCTCCAGCGGCACATGGAAAACAGTTTAATCTTTTAAAATGTAAAAGCGAATTTTTATGATATAATTGCCCCTATATATCCCGTGAGCAACCACAAATGAATTTGCAAGGTTTCATAATCATGACGTCATCTGACCGGAAGTTACTGTAGGGAGAATTCAACAATGATCATTTTATTTTTAAAGTTAAATCCATCATTTGATCCCTGTCTCATGACAGCCCCCCCCCCAAAAAATGACATCTGTTACACTTAATATTGACCTTTTGCCTCCAAATACTGTGACGTCATCAAACTGGAAGTTAGCTGTTATTATTACATACACTTAATTTCCATATTTCCATGCGTTATTGTTACTTAATGATAAACAAGAGTCCTCCCTTCCCTGTTTTGACTGATGACGCCATCAAACCGGAAATAATTGTACGTGTACCCAACTGTTTACTGAAATTTTTCATACCTTAAAAGACGCATTCTTTTTGTACAAAATAATTGGTACTGGAAATGTTAAAGTTCTTGGTCCTTTTTTTCTGACATAAACATATTCATAACTTAATTGGACAATGCCTAATGAAATGGTTGTCTACCCGACCACTCTGCGTTTGTAACAACAAACGCGAACCTCTAGTCTTTCTTTGTTTCTTTATCTGGACAATACGTCTCCGCGGGTTTCCTCCTAAACGGTTTATGATATGAACTTGTTACTTTCAATATATATTGACCCTCTTCCCTAGTGGTGCATATTACTCTGAGGTCATGATGACGTCATCGGGTGTCAAACTACAAGTAATCTTAGAGGAAGAAAGTGACCAATTACTTTCACCTTTAACTCTTGAACAAAATAATCATTAGTTTTTATATTCTGTACTCAGATAGACCATGAATTGGAAAAAACATTTTTGTCGTGTACGTGAACTCGGTTGACCTTTACTTCCGGGTCTACCGGAAAGTCAAAAATAGGTGAATTCAAAATGAAGACTTAAGCCTGAAATCAAAACAAAGCAAAATTTCTTCCAAACGGTTTACGGTATGATCCAGAAACCTAGTGTGAACTTGCAACATGTTACGATGATTTTATACATTTTGTTACATCATCATGACGTCATCAGGTATCAAATTACAAGCAATTTTAGGGCAAATTCTGATTTTACTGAATCGCCCCTTGATATTCTTTGATTAACCCCAAATAACTTGGCAAGGATTCAAATTCATCAGACCGGAAGTTTCTTCTATGAGAATTAGAAATTGACCATATTTTAAATTTAATTCATATCATTCGATCCATGTCGTATATCAGCCCAAATATCGATATCCATTACAATGTTCACTTTTCGCTTCCAAATACTGTGACGTCATCAAACCGGCAGTTCAGTGTTATAAACATTTACACATATTTATTTTGCAAATGTTCATACGTTATTTAAGTAATTCTCAATGAACATTCAAACCGAAATAAATCAGTATTCACTTCCCGATTTTGACTAATGACGTTATCAAGCCATAAATAACTTGTATGTGTACATAGAATGTTTACTGAAATTTATCACACTGTTAAAGATGCATTTTTTAAACAAAATAATTGGTTGTCCTGGAAAGGATTTAATTTCGTGATCCTTTGCTCTTACACAAAAATATTCATGACTTAACTGTACAGTGATGCATAAAATAGTTTTCTACCCGACCACTCGACTCTGCGTTTGTAACAACAAACGCGATTCTCTTTCTTTTCTTTCCGTGCAATGCTTATAGGGTTTTCTCCTAAACGGTTTATGATATGAACTTGTTACTTTCAATATATATCGACCGACCCTCATCCCGTGTGGTGGATATTACCCTGACGTCATGATGACGTCATCAGGTACAGGTATCAAAGTACAAGCGACTTTCGTTGAAAAAATTACCATTTTCTTTCACCTATAACTCTTGAACAAAGCGATCAATCATGTTCACACCTTGTAATCAGATAGACCAATAACTGATATACATTTTTTTTGGTCAAATTTTTTAAAGTCAAAGTCGGTTGACCTTTCCTTCCAGGGCTGCCGGAAGGTCACGTTAGGTGAATTCAAACTTAAGAAATTTGCCTCAAGTAAAAGGAAAACATGATTTTTCCGTAACCGATTGAAATCGCGCCTCACCAGTTTTCCTCTCATATCTGTATGCTGAATTAATTTTTCCACAGCGTGTAGCCACAAACTTTTCTGTCGTAAAGTCAGCTAGTGCAGAATTTATTATTAAGCTCATGCAAAAGAGAGAGAAAAAAAAAAGAAGCCATTTTATGATATGATTAGCACATGTTGCATAAACTTCAACGACGTTAGAGGTGTAGTGAGCGCGGAGTAGCGCCGTGGGGCTTGAGTCTCGTTGGGGGCGAGTTAACATACACACACACAGCGGAGATTAAGTTTCACCGGAGAATCACTGATCATTTATTCATTCATTTGTTCATTCGTCTCCATTGGTTGCTCAGAGTCGAAGGGAAGGAGGTAGCCAGTCGCTGCACCAGGCTAAGCATAGGCTAACGGTATCTTTCATCATGATTTCCAGCGGTATCCGGGGGAATTATATTTCCATTTCCCCCAATTCGGAGGCCATTTTTCTCGACTTCCTCCGTGACCAACTCGGATAAGATTTCTATCCTTCTCCTTTTGACACTAGTTCCGGAGCACTGCCCAACGAAGCCTGTTTACCGCTGTCTGGGTTACCTCTCCCTTCGCTTGGAATAACCAGCTTTTGAATCACTCTAAAGAACCTTAGTAATATTCAAAGAGTATACTGAACTACCGAATTATGTAAGATTCAGTCTTTTATATATAAGCACCAAACAATAATTAATGAGGCCCTATAATTATTATCTTACACGACACCAAATGCCAGTCTTTGCAGACATATCCCTCCGCTGCATGGATACACGTTCTATTTTTAGAATATTGTGCACACACCTGGGCAGGCCAGGCCAAGTTCGGGCAAGGACCATTAGTAGACTAGTGGTTGATTTGTGACGTACCTTACGCCTGCGCACTGATAGCAACGTGCGAACGTCTCTAGTCAAACGCTGGTCAAAATATCATCGCAAACATTCTGGATCCTGGCTCTCTGCTAGCGTTATGAATGCGCGCGGCTATTGGTAGGCTGGTTCCAAATAGTCGACTAGCGTAGTCAACCACCGTTGACTAGACAGAGTTCGGGCAAGCGTTAGTTAACCATTGGTCAACTATAGTCCTTGCGCGAACTTGGCACCAGCTTTTGGCAATTTAACGGTGAGTAGGCGAGCGCCCTCTGTTGGCAAAATTTGTGAATGATCAACAACAAATCACTATCATAAATCATTTCTCCACAGAGGCTTCGGCAAGTCTACCAATAATCCCAACTGGTTGTATGCTTGAGTAGCCATCCATGCAGCACCAGATGTGCGCTTTCTGATAGGCCTACAAGTCTTGTCGAGGTAATATAAAGCAACAAGTTCAACTGCAGGTTGTGTGATTTTCTTTGTGAAAAACACAGGGTAATGGGTGCAGGGTAATGGGAGGGGTAATGTGCAGTTCAATTATGATTAAGTCACTGTAAACACAAGAAAATATGCCAGCCCGACCACTCTGCGTTTGTAACTCAACAATCGTGAACCTCTAGTATTTATTCTGAGATCATAGCCGGGGATCAGTTCATAATTATAAAACCTACAGAAAAAACAATAACGACGTCAATGAACGTTCCATATAACCAAGGTTCATGTAAGTTGATGTCAAAAAGAGTGGTGTCGATGTTATAGGAAACAGTCACGGTTAAAGGGCATTTGTGTTTGTAAACACTAAACACACCTGACTTGTTTGCATTGTTTTGAAAACATATACAGTGTTAATTTGCATTATTGTCAATGATTTGAATTTTAAACCTTTGCGATGTTAGCCTTGAACAAGCAGCAACAAATAAAGCACTGGATAACATACAATTTTGTGTTTTTTGTTTGTTCTTACATATTTTATCCTCCAGTCGAATGACAAAGATCTACTTGGATGTTACTTAAACAAATAATGAATGTTTATGAGTGCAATGGTGAGAATATTTTCATGAGTTGAACGATCGAATGGTCCATTCAACGAGGCGAATTAGCGGAGTTGAATCAAGGGCGGATCCAGGGGGGGGGGCCAAAGGGGGCCATGGCCCCCCCCCCCCAAAAAACGAAACCAATTTTTTTTATTTTTATGTGACATCGCAATAAAGGCAGGCAATGAGTACACCACCATCTTTTCCTCAAAAAAAACATTGGTTAAAGTGGTCAGAAATTGCCTCAGATCGCACCACAGAGCATCTAGAATCCAAAAATTTTTCGGGGCCCTTAAGCGGGCCCCTTAAGCGGGCCCCGAACCCCACGCCGTAATTTTTTGACCCACTTTTTTGGGGGACCAAAATTTTTTTTGGCCCCCCCAAAAATTGTGTTCTGGATCCGCCCTTGAGTTGAATGGGACATTTTAATCTTTCAACGAATGAAAATATAGCTGGACATATTTGTATAGTATCCTTCTCAAAGCAAATCGATGAAAACAAAAGTCAAGTATCAAAACCCAAAAACTTACCTTTACGAAAGTGACTGCTTCGGCTGTATGTCTTCCAACGTCGTGTGTTCTTTGAGCACCAACTTGTGCAACAAATTATGGAGTGCTCGACGATAATGACTTGCGTTAGCAGTCAGCAGCCAGCGGTGCCGTGAAATAGATTGAGCGAGCCGACACACCACACACCCACAACTACCCAGGTCATTGTCGACTTGAACTCTTTTGTTAACGTACCGTGATTCAACTAAAACCACAGTGCGCACAATGTTATAAACACTTGGTTGTGCAAACATCCGCGTTCTAGTTATCCAATCAAAGGCGTCCATTCCAAAGCCCAACCCTGGCTTTTTGCATAATGAGTTTGCAACAGCCAGACTAGACCCAGGGAAGTCATATCTCACAGCGAAATTGCAGTCATGCACTAATCGAGCAAAAGTCGTACACCTATCCGCAGTGGGTATTATTTGCCAGGAGTTTGCCAGCAGACTTGTGCGCATTGCTAGAGTGTTCCACGTCAACAGACTACAGTCGCCCTTGATTGCAGGTAAGTGATCTAGTATGATCTTTTTCCTGCGCACTTCCCCTCTTGAAAAGCTCTGAGAGACTGCATTGAATTGGGTGAAGAATATCATGGAGGGATATAAATATATTAAGTAACACTTAATGAAATTTATGGATGAATGGTCATTCAATTGAGTGCGCCACAACTCAACTGGAGCTGTGGGCTGCACATGGCACTTACAAAAGAATCACAGGGAACAAAGCAGAAAGCTGAATCCCATTTAGTACGTGGTTACATAACATGAAAAATGCAAACCATAAGAACACTGGAAAATTCACTGAAGCCTGTACAACCAAGACGTACAGGGAGACATGTGAAGCTTCAGTAATAGTTGTGCCTGCAACAAGACAGCGTCCAATCAGCATCACCCGGGCAGGAGTTCTTAAGGTGTAAATTTATAATGAATTAAGTTGCAATTAGTATGCGAGGAAAAATAAGATCAAAGGAAATGACAGATAAAGGTTAAATTAAATATTATGATTAAAGCTCACGACAGTAATTACTTGATTTAAAACGTTTTGGTAGTTGACAAGGCATAACGTCAACAGGTTTTAACCAAATAAAATTGTCATCTGGTATTTTCAAACTATCGAGATAAAAGTAAACAAAAGAAACTTGATGATTAACTTGATGATGAACAATGGTGAATAATCTTATAAATCAGATTAAATTATGTATGTATTCTATGTATTAAAAAAGCTAAAGCAAAAGAAGTAATCCTTACTTTTAGGACCCCTAAAGACTATAAAGTTAAAAGACTCACCAAAACAGCTGACTAAATGACACTCAAAAGTCTGAAAGTGACATTCTGATGTTTCTTGACATATTTGAACAGTTGGCAATGACACCTTCTTTAATATCAGCAGGTTTAATTTTGTAAAAAGAGGGCAGGGCTTTGATTTATGAGGGGTTAAAGACGACGATGACAAACAGAAAATATATTTAAAAAGCAAGATGGCATTAACTGCAAAAAAAGGCAGAAAAGTCACATTTTCTTTGAAAGTGCTTTCAAAATGACAACTAACATGAGTTTATCTGAGGAAAAAAGACTGCTTTAGCCTGCAAAAGTCACTTTGGTACTGGACAGTCACCTGCAAAAGTCAGTTTTGAACAGAACTCGTAAAAATAGAGGTGTCCTAAAGATAAGGATTACCGCAAAAGATTATTAATATAGTGAAAGGTATTAATATAGTGAAAGTTATATTAAAGAATTATGAAAGGACTCCTTAACCCCACAAGTCATGTTGTAATTCAAAATTAATTATTTGGTGAATAAATGACCAGAAAGACATAAAAGACACACAAAACCGGGACGTCCCTTCGTTATGTTTGGTTGGTACGTTTTGAATGGTCAATTTTGACACTTTTGGACCAAGAGTGTTCAAATTGATACGGCGTAGGTATCGCAATGGCGCCTTAATATATAATTGTTTTCCAACGGAATAAAGAATATGTGGCAAGTATGTTTTTCAGCTTCATGTTGTGTATAGTATGTACAGGTACTGCCAACGTAACATCTGGATAACGATACGTTTACAATGGTGGATCTACAACCATGGACAGGGGGGAAAAAAATCATGAAAACCTACCCCCCCCCCCCCGCGCTCTTGAGCTAAAGCTGAATCTGCCCCTGGTTTTAGTTGTTTATAATACACTGTTGATTTGGATTATTGTATTAAAAAATCAACAACCAAATCTCTTTCCTGTACATGTAAAGTGCGTATATAGGCAGCTCAATGGAATGGAAATCTTTCGAACATTTAGAGGCCTTCCACTGAATCCAATCCGGTTTTCGGGGTCGTTCGGCATCAGTCAGATCTGAAAAAAAAATATCACCAGTCGCTAAATTAAGAGTGAACAAAACCAAATTCTGTGCCGCGACGAAACGTGGTCCCAACAGTCGGGAATCAATGGAAGTCGACATGCATGAAGTTATGGGTTCACCCCTGCAATAAAATTCCCATAGACACTAGTGCTAAACGCCCATACTTCAAAATTCTTTTAAAAATACTCAGCACTCTCACAGGTATTTAAGCTGCACAAAAAAATGATGATCAACATGTCATCTTTCATTTTCTTTTCATTTTTGGTGGGCTGACCATTGACTTTTTGAGATATTCTCACCCAAAGAAGATGACCCCCATTTTCCCTAAAGCGGAAAAGTAGCCATCTTGAAAAACGATCCCTCCACAACATTGCAAAATAACGCCACTTTCGAGCCCAGTTGCATCCAAAATGCTCAGCATTAGAATCCCCACGTCCGGGCTGGAGGTTCATTGCAATATCTCTTTAATTCCATAATGTTATGGCTCTCAGAACTCTCTAATATAGAAATTTTGAGGGTAAAGATTTTATTCATGAGCTCGGCGGAAGGATGTAGACCTATTTACCGGTGTGCACCCTTATATCACGTCGTGTGCGCATCCGGCCGGATCATATGGTGTACTATTCAGGTCACTAAAACGGCGCGTTGTGTGTCTTCACGCGTTCGTTTATGGTGTAAATCGAGGACACACACACACTGAAAAATTGCCTGGGTTAATTTTTCTTGGTCGGCATATGACCTTGCACGTGAACCTGTTAATATAAAGGTCGCAAATGAGTTCAATTTGGACTTTCTATTATAAATTGTAGATTCAATAGGTATGAGAAAAATGCGCTTGATATATAACTATATTGATATCAAACAACATCGGTGTTTTAACAAAACTTGACATAATGGCCGTGCCAGACAACTGACATTACGGTAGTATCCAAAGTATGAGATAATTGTCGGTTTTGTGGTTGTAGAAATGACTTCGAAGGCCTTTACCTTGAAGAAGCAGCCGTCAATTGAAGCTCTGCTCCTTGCTAGAGAAATCAGACCTGAGGCACAAAAGAGATTCAAGGAGCCAGATGTTGACGTGGACGACATCCAAGGCGATGCACTCCGAGGCTTCAACAAACCTCATCTTGCCTTCTTGGCCCTGGATATAGAAGACAACAACCCTAAAGCCATTCAGAACACCAAGAAATGGCTCGCTGATTACGTCATTCCTAACGTCACCACAGCACGTGACATCATTCAGTTCCGCCAGATGTTCAGGATGATGCGTGAGAAACGCAATGGTATCAAGCCGACGACAGTGGTTCAGATTTGCTTCAATATCTCCTTCTCCTACGAGGCACTAAGCAAGTTAGCCCCAGCCGAAGAAGTTGAGAAATTCTATAATCCAGGTGTACAAAGTACCGCCTTCAAAGTCGGTCTGCCAAAACGCTCCCTTTATCTGAATGACCCCAAAACAGGTAAATGTAAACCCCTTAATTCTTCTATGATTTTGCGGGGGAAAAAACACGGCTTTAGAAAAAATTTGCCCTGGCAGTGATTTACGTAATCCAAACGGAGTCACGATTTCGTTCCTTTGTGGAAACTTAAAATTATAGTGGATGAGCTGTATTTCCCTGTCAGTGATTACCCATGATATGATCGATTTCAATAGATTTGGACAAAATAACTTCGTCCAAGTTGGTTTCGATTTCGACCAAATTGGCATTCGAAAGAGAGATGATTTTTCCTTTTGTGAAAACACCAACGAATAAGGAATAACCAGTCGTTCTGATTGTTTTCATAAATGTGGCTTGGATTTACCATGAGACAATAACTGTGTCGGGACCATTGTTTTAGTGAAGTTCTGCATGTAGGATATTAAAGCCCAATTCATAAGCTTTCTCTTAGTATAGGTTTTCCCAGCTTTTTTAACACTTTTATCAAACGAATTCCCTATATCATTGCTTTAATTTCGTCCCCGATCATCGCCAAGCTCACTTCTCAATTTGAATTTCAAAAAGCCACCACTAGATTTAATTTAATAAGGTGCAATATAATTCAAATTGTTAGCATACCGATTCGTCCAAAATCTTTGAATTTCGTCTTGTGAAGCAATAGGCGTTGAATTGACAAAGCAAATTTGTTTTTTGTCATTCGTTTTCATGTTGTTGTCATTACATTTTGTTTCTGGTGACGTGAAGTGCATACGATTAGAAAAAGCGCCCAATCTTTAGACTCATTTGAAGAATTGTGCGCATTAAAACAATAATAATTTCAACATATATTACCTTGTTATGTATAAATAAAAGTTGTTAGCTGTATAAGGTATGCATTTTTATTTTTGTGTTTCACAATTAACATTAGAGTCAGGAATTGACATTTCGCAATATGACATGGACACTGAGCACCTTCTAAATGTTGCTCTTTGATAGACATATACCTTATTTCTGTTATTTTATTCATATACATGTACATATCAAAGAGCAACATTAAGAAGGTGTCTGATGTCAATGCTTAATTTCCATATGCTAAACAAAGAGCATATTGTGAAAGTCCCATTTCTGATTTTAATGTTAACTTTCAAAGAAAACTCAAAACTTACAGCTAACTTCTTTCATTTATAAGGAACTATTTGTTAAACATTAAAATTTAATTAATGTGCACAATTCTTTAAATAAGTCCAAAGATTGGGCACATTTTTAATCGTAACGTTTTAAGTCACCAGAAACGAAATGTAATGATAACACCATGAAAATGAATGACAAAAAACGAATTTGCTTTGTCAATTCAACGCCGATTGCTTCACCAGACGAATTTCAGAGATTATGGACGAATCGGAATGCTAACAATTTGAATTATACTGCACCTTGATATCTAGTGGTGGCTTTTTGAAATTCAAATTGAGAAGTGCGCTTGGCGATGATCGGGGACGAAATTAAAGTGATGATATAGGGAATTCGTGTGATAAAAGTGTTAAAACAGCTGGGAAATCCTATATAAGAATCATTCAAATTACCTATGTACATGGGCGTCGCCAGGATTTTTTCTAGAGGGAGGCAAAACATATTTTTTCCCAAAATTTCTTGTAGTTCTCAACAAATTCTCGATTTATCAGTTTTAGAGGGGGGGCAGGGACATTTTGCCCCCCCTCACCTACTCATTAAATTTACACCACTATGACTTCGCGCTTTTTTCGGGGGGGGGGGGCAAGCGCCCCCTTGCCCCCCCCCCCCCCCCCCCCCCGCGACGCGACGCCCATGCCTATGTACTTTTCAAGTTACGATATTTTAAACACAACTACCGTTTTAAAGTTCTGTCCACGAATCACAAAAAGGTAAGTGTTCTTCCAGCAAAACGAAAACGAATCCCATATGTTTATGTATGTATGAAGTGTTTTCGCTTTGCTGAAAGAACGCGCACCTTCTTTGTGATCCGTGGACAGAACTTTAAAACGGTGGTTGTGTTTAAAATTCCATAACTTGAAAAGTACATAAGTGATTTGAATTATTCCTGTACTAAAAGAAAGCTTATGAATTGGGCTTTTGTGTCCTAGATTTTGAAAGTGCTACATGCAGAACTGCACTAAAACAATTGTCCCAACATTTGGGTTTCGCTTTCTTGACTCGCCCATGATCACTAGATAAAGAGAAGGCGATGGGTTTGGCCATGTTATGCCACATAGGGCATGAGTAATGAGGAACTTTGGAGCAGGAGAGACCGTTTAGTTGTCCTCTATGACGTCTGAAGGCTTCCAAATTACGCAGTTTCGTCAGTCATGATAACTGTTTAAAGATAAATGGAAGGAGAAACTAGAATATAATGATATGTTCATCTCTGAATCAAATTATCAGGTGAAGGAGCCAAGGAAAACTGGAAATTAGGCGGCAAGAGTAATCCACATATTCTCATCCAGGTATGTTGCACTTAACAGCCTAAACTCAAAGAAAAGTTGGGCAAATGGGTTGGTATTTTTTTTTTAGTATGCCCACATAAAAATGCAGCCCATTTTCAATTTTTTTTTTTTTTTTTAAATATGATGAATTTACATCCTAAATTACATCAGAGCCAAAAAAAAAAAACCACTTTGATCTAACACACCCGTTGCTTTCCAGGTTGGCTCTGACCGTACGTCACTGATCCAGGAAGAGATAAACACCCTGGTCAACGGACTGAAATCTTTGGGTAATCCTCTCAAGATTACCTACCAGGAGTTTGGCAAACGACGGGAGGATCTACCGGGACACGAGCACTTCGGATTTCTGGATGGCATCAGTAACTTCGGGGCCAGGTAATTCGGGTGAAATGTGCTCACACTGGGAACAGCCTCATGTACAAAATTTAACGAGTGCTGTTTCAAAGAGATACTCGATCAATCTGCCTCTGGTCAGACCAAAGTTCCGGAATTGATGCAGCGACGCGGTTTTTTTTTTGGGGGGGGCTCTTTTTTTTCAAGCTTGGATTGTACAGACAAGGTGGGTACTATTTTTTTGCTTTTTTTTTATGTCATCATACACATTGGTGTCCTCCATAGTTTGCCTTTGTGCCCTCCATCATTTGCCTTGGTGCAATTTCCCCATTCCTTGGTAGCAAATTTGAGGAGGTGCGGCAATAGAGGGCGCTGTCGTAGCTAACGCGGACAATATTTGAAGAAGAAAAAAAAGGTTGACGCGCAAAATCGACGCGCGTGCTGACCAGAGACGGACTATTTTTTGTTTTGTTTTTTTGGCCTAAGATAAATTGATTTCAAATTAGTCAACATCATAGGACATGCGCCAGAGCGCTGTGTACTGTGGCGGAGTGCTTCGGCCTCGTGGTTAATGGCATTGGATTCGTGGTTAATGAAATATATTGTGGTAGGCCTCAGTTATTAAAAAAATTTTGGATCAGGGGGACGTTCACTCGGCAAGGCACGAAAATACCTCAGTACGTTACGCCAAGGTTTCTGCACCAGCAAGACCCACGATCTGATCTGTATGGCCTACCGGGCCAGCGGCTGATTTGGCCAGGAGAGGTCATCTTGGGACTTCCGCAACAAAACGCTAATACTCGAGATCCCGACCAAGCCAACCTGCCCGGATCAAGTAAGTATAATATCGCAGCGTTTACAATCTTGTTTCAGTCTCAATGGGGTGGGGGTGGGGGCCGGGGTTCAGGTTATTTATATCCTCGACTTCGTCCTCTGCTCAAACGTTTATCCAAGGATACGCTCCACCTTCAGTCGAGGCCTCTGTCCTATATCGGTTGTAAATTGTAGAACTGATGTGTGGGCAAGAAATTAAGAAAAGGGTGGGGGAGGGGTATTGGTGAAACCACTGTTCACGTACCTTGCGCCCAAAATTCATCCCCTGACAACAGCTTTATATAGTCAACTAAAATCTATTATTGTGAATGCCACTTTTTGATTCGTTTGTTGATTGTAGGCTCTTTCACTGGGCCGGACTGGGCGAAGAATGGAACCTTTTTGGTCTTCCGACGGCTGAGGCAAGATGTGCCTAAATTCTGGAAATTCATGAAGGAGAGTGCTGCCGAGCTTGCTGAGCACCACGGCATGGCTGGCTTTACGGAGGAACACATGGGGGCCAAAGTTGTGTCCAGATGGAAATCAGGTAGGCCTAGTCCTTGTTGCTGTTCAGTCTCTGAAAATGTCTCCGGGGGAAATTGCAAAAAATCATGTTGGTTGGTTTTATGGCTGGTTCATTTCTCATATAATAGCAAGTCACATGACAAACTAGTCAGATTAATGAACTGTACAACAAAGATGTTCCTTTGTCATTGTCACCGCCTTATACACTTTTTAGGTGGGTAGGATTTTGATTTCATTTTGATTTGACTTGAATTTGATGGACTTGAGATATGTGACTTGTGATTGACTCGATTACAACTCTGCCATGTATTAAAGGCCCTGTCAGACTGTCTGCGATCATAATGTGGGCTCTCACTGCGTCCTTGCAAAATGGCTGGGGCGCAACAACAACTACTAGATTGCAGCGACAACTATACATAGGTCGCCTGATAGGCGCCGGAGGGTCTTTTTGGTCTCCGATGAGCGCCAAAGTTTTTGAACGTGCTCAAAACAATCGCAACATCTCTGCGATCAACCTCGTCCCCAGTGCTTACTTTGTTTCCAACCTCGTTTCCAATAATAAGCCCTGGATAGGAAACTTTTTTCCTATATCCTGATTCGATAACGCAATTGGCTAGTAATGGATATTTATCGTGTACTTGGTGTTCATTATTCACAACGTGCAGTACGTGTTTTCGCGATCATTCGTCCACGCCTTCTCGAAAATACTAATTTCCTTTCCAATTTGTTCATATTATGATACTGCATGTTGTCTCGATAAGATCGTAACAGTTTGATTTTAAAGTGTTTTCGTAACTCACGCCGTGCTGGCGCTGCGACGAATTGACTCTGTTTTTACCCCAGACACCGCATACAAAAAAAACGCTAATGTAACGCATATCCAGGTACCAGACTGTTCCTCATTTGCATACGTGTTCAAAAATCTTGCACATGCAAATGATCTAAGAGAGCAGGTAGCGATGGGCGCGTACTGTTCGACACCCTGGGGACGAGGTTGCTGGCGCTGTGCGAGCGTGGATCGTGCGACATTGAAGTGGCATTGAGGCAGCGTAGGCGCAAGGCAGTTGATGTAGTCTCCTTAAGAAAGTAACTCGACTGCGATGAACTTGTAGAATAAATTTGAAACTGGACTGCGGATTGCACCGTTTTTTCGTGGTATTTATACAGCGCAAGTGACGTCACGTGAGCGTATTTTGGTCGGATAGCGAGCACGACGCGAGCTACATAGGACGTATCAACAGCGAGCAAAGCGAAGTATAGTGAAAGCGCAGTGGCAGCGACTAGATCGAGTAATTGGGCTTGACAGGGCCGCATTCAGAGCGAGTTGAGCGCATCGTTAGCGCGGGATGAGCACAGTATGAGCTGCGATTGTTAAATTTAGTTAACATTTTTGGTCCCCGTAAGGTCTACTATGAGAGCGCATATAATGTGACAGGCCCCGAGACATTTTCCCTACGTACTTAATTGACATTCTGAGTATTCATCCTCTCCGTCAGTTGCCATTTTAAGTAGATATGTGAATTCACCACTGCGAAATTAAATTGGGTGCGTCAAAAAAAAGATGGAATTTGTTCGGTTGTTATTTCAGCGCGTAAAGATCATATCTTATTAGAAATAGGGAGAAACGCAATTTCAACCAGTTAAAGGACATTTTATTTAAATCCATTTCAATATTTTGTTTTCAGGAACACCGATCATTCGCGAACCGAAAGCTGATAATCCTACACTGGGTTCAGACCGTTTGGCCAACAATGCCTTTGTCTATCAGTCCGACGATGCCCCCTATTCTCTCAAGCCTCGAGGTAACACCGACGGCTTCCCCACGGGGAATCCCGACCCCCAGGGGGTGGTGTGTCCCCTGTCATCCCACCTGCGCAAAGTCCAACCACGTGACGCCAGCACCGACATCGGCAACCAGTACGATACCCTGAAGCATCTCATCATCCGCCGCGGGATTCAGTACGGCGACCCCATCAAAGACGTCATGGTGGACGACGGGGTAGACCGCGGTCTGTTGTTTGTCTGCTACCAAGCAAGCATCGACAAACAGTTTGAGTTTCTGATCACCCACTGGGCTAATAGTCCCAGTAACCCACATAGCGGTGGTGGTCATGATATGGTGATTGGGCAGTCGAGTGCTGATGATAGGAAGCGTTCGTTTGATGTTTGCTTACCTGACGGCACCGTTAAGACAGTGGAAACTACCGACGAATGGGTCATTCCTACTGGAGGCGGCTACTTCTTTGTACCGTCTATCACTGCTTTGAAGGATGTAATTGCCAAGTAATCAGTTAAAACAAATGAAAATGGCAAATGGTCTTATATTTAATGACCAATATAAATGACAGATAGCCATAGAGGCCTAGCTCCTTCGCCTATAGGTTTCAAGTTGTTTGGTTTATCGTTACGTTTCCATCATTTTCATGATTTCCTAATGTTTGTTTGGTTATATATTGGCTGTTTCAAAAGACTTCTATCGTTTTGTTTGTTGACAATTTTAATTTGTATTCTGAGGGGGAAAAGGAAAATGGCGTTGTCATCGATTTTTATATGAGCTGTTCGTTGACCGTATCGGTTTTTAGAAGGGATTGGAATATGTTGGCAAATCAATAATAATTTGATGGGGTGGCTGGATAAAGTGATCGCTTCTTATTAGTTTGGCCAAAAAAATGATATACAAATGATTTCCTTGGGTCTTACATTGGGTCACAGTGGACATTTTTGTTGCGTTGTATGAATGAAAAGTGCTCTTGTCAATTTTAACCAGGCATTGTTCTCGTAACTTGCATTCAGTAAAATCAAGACTGAAATTTTGCTGATTTAAGGTTTCCAAATATTGAAAATTTAAGAATTGTACAAAAGTTTAAAGGCTTTTTCTGGAGGGGGGGGATATACTTCCAACTTTTTGGAAGTAAAACTATAGTCAAACAAAATATGTATAATGTTGCTTATTAGATCACTTGTTTACGCTAATCGCTAATGATGTAAACTGATAGCCGCAGATTTTCCCGGCGAATTATAGCGATGAGTGTTTTTAGTGGAAGTATGTAACGGTGGAAATTATATGAAATAATTAGATTAGAAAAAAATATGATATACATGTATTACACAATTTTGATGAGCTTCGTTATGGTAATTATAATGTGGTACAATTATTAATGGAGAGAGGGTTTTCAATTTAGATATAAAGAGATAATGGTGACGTACTATGTTATCCATGCATGAGGTGTAAATAGCTTTATAGGGTGATTGGTTTCCCGACTATTTAGAAATTAAGACTTAAAGTAGTACAGTTACACTTCAACTTGCTCGGCTTTCTATACTTTGAGGATTGTGTTTTGAAATTGGTTGCTTCTTTCAGGCATTGACCAAATACTTGAAAAATTTGCAGCTTATCTTACACAGTGGTCAGTTCCATGGGAGTCGTGGGGGGGGGGGGGGGTGGCAAGGGTGGTCACTTCCCCCCCCCCCCCGGAAAACGAGAAAAAAAAGGAAAAGGAGGTGCGAAGCCATATTGCTGTTAATTTTAGGGGGTAGGGCAAATGCTCCCCTGCTCACGCTCGGAAAAATGATAAATTGAGAATATAATGAAAAAGTTAAGGAACATTTGGCAAAAATTTGCTTTGGCCCCCTGGAAAAAAATCCTGGCGACGCCCATGGTCAGTTCGAAATATATATCTCAAGGATAATATGTTATGCGTTAAACGGTAATTTGGAAATGATGTTAAGGAGTCACATGGATTATTTTAAACAAACTTGATCTCTGGGCAGTTTGGAAAGAAATGAATAAAATGAGTATGAAAGAGAGTGATAGTAACTTGGAACAGACTTTGATCATATCAAGCAATTAATGATGTATTTTGGTGAATTACAGTAAATAGAATATGACACAAAACTGGTATATATCCAGCTTTTTTTTATTTGGAATTCTTGTTCATGTCACGAGGTTTGCTACTGTCTTCTCACTCGCGTGGGCTTCAAGTTCAAAAAGAACTTTTCCAAATGGGAAAGACACTTTGCAAATATCCTATCAGTTTGGATATACTTCACGAGTTTCTTAATAAACGAGCACCTTTTTTAACAATAGTATGATCACTATTATTTTTCGGTGTGGTGGGGAAAGGGGCAGGGCTCACAGATTTTACACGAGCTCATTTTGCATCAAAAGTGCCCCTACAACTTTAAAAAAAAAAAAAAAAAAAAAAAAAAAAAAAAAGAGACCGTCTGGTTAAGGCCAAAAAAAAAGTCTCCGGTTTCTGGTATGGAGCTTGCCCAAAAAGTGGTGCGGCGACGCGGCTTTTTTTTTTTTTTTACCTTATTGTTTTGATTCAAATGTCGGCTGATGACTGCAAATGGTGCCCGACTAAACGTAGTGCAAATATATGGGAGTCCAGAGAGGCCACATAAAGCTTATTCTCGACCATTACCCAATCTAAAAACACGTTAAAATTGTGCAGCAGCAGGATTCCAGTCAAACCAGTGAGTTTGGCGGTTTTGAGACATCATCTTTTATTGAAAAAAAAAAAATTTCATTTTGCCGACGCGCATGGCTACGGCGACGCGCGCGCATACCAGAAACTGGAGACTTTTTGGGGGGGCCTAAAAGAAAACGGTGGCATTGTGATATTTTGCCGAGGATCAACAGGGGTCCTATTTGCCCAAGAAAAAATAATGTACAGGGGTGCCATTTGGAAATTGGACTGCACGCAGGCCTGTGACAATTACCCTTGCTCCATGCCATAACTGCCACGTTGCCGTAAAGTTGATATCATTCTGCACAAAGCCCCTAGCGCCAGGGGTTTTGTGCACAATTCTTATCAGACGACCTATCACGCTCAATATACTTCGACCAAATCCGCAAGCCTCATCATCAAGAATTAAGACAGAAGTATTGGACCAACTTTTATGAGAATGTGTTCGTAATGTATCTGTTATAATTTGAGCAGTATATGCGTGTAGTATGCTGTTGTAAAACACTCGCATGGACGGGTCGTGAAATAAGTTGGGACTATAGGGGATGACTTTGTGAAAAAAAAAACTGGCTGATGCAGCGGCGTAGCTACGGGGGGCGAGGCGTGGGAGGGGGGCACTCTCCCATATCCCCGATCTAATATTGTCGCCCCAGTCGCCCCGGTCCCGGACATTAATTGGCAATCGGAGAAAAGAAGTCATATAAGTTACCATGAGTAAGCATGTTACTATTTTAACGTCCCGTGGAAAGCGACTAGCTGCACTTATATTGTCTGACATTCACCCCCCCCCCCTACTGATTTTACGGAGGCCGTGGTTGCCGTGAAAAAAATACCTGTCTATTATGGTATTGTTGCGTTCCCGCAAATTGCGTAGTTTACTTGTTTCCCAACCAATCCATTCCACTCCGTGCACAGCGTAATGCTTGCAGCGATCCTGCGTGCCCTCACACAGCGCGAAGCTTAGGGGCCATTCAGAATTTTCAATGTTTTAAAATTTCGATCTTTTTTCCAAATAGTGGGTGGGTGGGTCAAGCTAAATAATTGAAAATCGAAATTCACTTTCCATGGAAAAAAAGATAAAAAACAAAGAAAGATAGATTTTTTGACTTGCCTGAACTACGCGTAAGCGTTCCGATATCGCGATGCGTGTTTCTTTTTTTCAGTGGGGGGGGGGGGGGGGGGGGGGGGGGGCGCTGGGGGGGGGGGCTGGAACATTTCATGGGGGGGGGGGGCGTCATGTAGATCAATGATAATTTTTTTAGAAACTCAACATCTCAGTGGGGAGGCGACTGGGGGGGGGGGGGCTGTCGCCCCCACGCCCCCCTTGGCTACGCCACTGCAGGTCATACAGTTAAAGTTTATGTAAACTTGTATGAAAAGTCAAAGAAAAGTAACTCCCATGATCTATTTGACACCAAGTTTGTGTTAACTTGCCGGTAACGCCCTAAAAAAATTTCCAGACAAATATGTTTATTTTGTAACATTTTATGTTCGTCTGTCGGTCTTCTATGCTGTTATGTTTACTTTTAGGTACCTTCAATGGTACTATGTTTAATTAACCTGTTCATTTGTTTAATAAACTAATAACGCACATATAGTTGCCAAATATGGCACTAACAAGTTTGAGGTCGGCAATTTCGTCTTTAAAAATCTGGGTACGTCGGGTTACCGTACAAACAATTGTCCTGGAAACAACAGTACCAAAGTACAGAAAGTCGTACGCAAGAGCTCCCCAGCAAGTATCGCTGACGCCATTATGATTCCAAAATGTCTCACTGTGTCACACAGTGAAATAACTAAACAGCGTCGTTGTATTGTGAACACATAAAAGCATTCAAGTCGCGTTCTTGCACACTTTCTGCAAGTCGACATAGATATCCTTGAACCACTGCCCCTGCTTTGCATAACAAGTACACATGAATGAACGATTCGACTTTTATTCAAAAAAATTTCTATGTACAGTCACCAGACTCTATTCAGTAAAGTCCCCGTCAAAGCGAAAGTAATCAACGTGCATAACGCACGGCTACACCATCGTACAGTGTGGCAGGGACACCAACAAGTAACACAACTAAATTTTTTTTTAAAAATTGATAAATATTCTGATTGAATTTCGTTAAAAGATACTTGTTGGTGAGGTATCACATATTCTAGCAAATTGATAAAAAAGTACAATATTACAATATGCAATTTTGAGGGAAATGGGCAAAATACTGCATAAATAATTTCACTTGATCATATTCATAATACACAAACCGACAATTTTCATTTTCAGACCCACAACGAGAAATATTGTTAACACTGGGCTTATTGTGAGGAGTTGTACTGGGAATCCATGAAGATGTTATTTTCAACATAATTTCTAAACAATTTAATGGGACATTCCGTGACATGAGCCTTCCAGATCTAATAAATAAATACGAACTAATAAATAAATACTCTTACAACCCAACAAACAAACAAACAAACAAACAAAACAAACAACCAGACTCAATAACGGCCCTTAACGGGAATGAATGACAAACGGGCTAAACAGATTATTACAAACAAAACAAAACAAAACCGAGAAACAAAAACAATCCCATTCCCCAGAGAGAAAAATGCAAACCATAAAAACAAACAACCTAGTTGACATACATAGGTCTACACTCACATGAAATACACACACGAAAGAAACAACAACAAAATACCCGGCAACAAAATGAAATAAGACACAATTTTACACTGACGATAAAATAAATATGACTGCAATAATTCCTCCCTCAGTTTTGAAAGAAAAGATTCACAACCTTCCATAGTTAAAACTTTTTCTAATTTTAACACGGTGACTTCGGAGAACATCAATGAGGCAATTGAACAGTTATCTTATCTTGTAATCCATGTGTCTATCAGTTCTAAGTTTCAAGTGGTGAAACGTTAAAGGCTGTGCGACGGAGCTGCCCTGCAATTCATTCCTGAAATTATTGTTGCATTGATGCATTCCCTATTAGTTCATTAACTTTCTATTAGAATCAACATTATTATCTATGATAACGAATTTGGCGGGAAACAGAGCTTTCCCACAGTGACTTTACTGGTTTAATTAACTTCGTGGGGATTCCTCCAACGTCAGGCTTTTCCTTGGTTTCAACACCGGTGTCGGAGTCTCACAACACTAACTGGGGGAACCAAGTATGCCAAAGATTTTAGCTGAACCGAGTGGGCACGGTACGAGCTTCCGCTTCGCAGAGACGGCCGGACTGAAGCGGGAGCGGACCGCTACAGTGACGGGGAAGCAACAGCTGGACGGGGCCAGCGAGTGTACCGGATCACACTATAGTTCGAGCCATGGTGTGCATGGTCAACCGGAGCCAGTGGCGTAGCCAGGAATTTTTCAGTGGGGGGGGGGGGGGGGGGGGGGGGGGGGGGGGGGGGCCGCTGGGGGGCTGGAACATTTCATGGGGGGGGGGGGGGCGTCATGTAGATCAATGATAATTTTTTTAGAAACTCAAAATCTCAGTGGGGGGGGGGGGCGACTGGGGGGCGACAAGGTTTCATGGGGGGGCTGTCGCCCCCCCCCCCCCCCCCCCCCCGTGGCTACGCCACTGTGTACTGTACATGTACGTCATGTAGGCCTACGTGTATCCATCGCTATAAAAACTGGACTATTCAACCACTGGAATCCACGACTACGAGGACCGCAGCCTGTGGGGGGGGGGGGGGGGGGGGTACGAGCGAATGTTTTTCTCAGCTACGAAGTCTTAGACACACATACAAGTGTGAAGCACATTGTACAGTACACTATTGTATAGCGCGCAATGCATGTAGCGCTCACTGCTATTGAACATGTACCGCCATGGGACATGTATTAGGACTTGGACTTTTTCCATCCACCTTTCCCCGGAGTCTATGCGAATTCCCCTCACACACCATACCTCGCATCCGACCCACATTGACCCCGAGCATTTACCGAATGTGGCTCGCTAAAACCTACCCGTGTATTCACCCCTCAGTGACCCCGTACACGGTACACACCAGCGAGTGTGTCCCGCTAACCCCCTGGCCGCAGTACGCGCCCACCACTACCTGCTCTCTCACCCTGGTATTGGATCATTTGCATGTGCAAGATTTTTGAACACGTATGCAAATGAGGAACAGTCTGGTGCCTGGATATGCGTTACACATTAGCGTTTGTTTTTGTATGCGGTGTCTGGGGTAAAAACAGAGTCAATTCGTAGCAGCGCGAGCACGGCGTGAGTTACGAAACTGTTACGATCTTATCGAGACAACATGCAGTATCATATTTCATATTAATATGAGCAAATTGGAAAGGAAATTAGTATTTTCGAGAAGGCGTGGACGAATGATCGCGAAAACACGTACTGCACGTTGTGGATAACAACGCCAAGTACACGATATTAGTCCATTACTAGCCAATTGCGATATCGAATCAGGATAGAAGAAAGTTTCCTATCCAGGGTTTACTATTGGAAACGCGGTTGAAAATAAAGTAAGCACTGGGGACGAGGTTGCACTGGCCGAGACCTACGGTAGCTAGAGGTCAGGTTACGTCCTTCATCTCATAGTTTTACTCCAAAGCATTAGTGTGTAGAATCTTACTTAGTCTAGCGACTAAGTCTTGTACACAACCCTATGTACCGACAAAGTTATTCCCTTTCCCTTTTCCTTGAGGATCAGTTCCCCGTAACGCACCTACGAGTGATCCTACTTCGCCCGCTAACCACTGCTCTCGGACTTTCTTCCAGTAGAATGTCTAAGTCAGTCGTGTACAAATCTCCCATAGAGAACTTTCCTCATGCCTTTGTACACGGATGCATTATTCATAACTACCAGAATCCAATGCTCCCATTGGCTAAGACGCGCACCCAAAAGTTTATATAAAGCGCGCAGAAATGGGTTCTGGTCATTGTTGTACTGGGCTCTTATCCAGTAGATTATTGAGCTGAGCTATGACCTACACAGTGCTCCCGCATATGATGCATTAGATTGATGATCTGGGCTCCCGACAGATCCCGACAGAGTTCCTGACATGTACACATAGATTATCGAGCTGGCCGCTCACTGGCCAAAGACCCATGTCTACGTCTATACACAGATAATCATGTACGCCCAAACTAAACATTGTATATAGTGTGCCCTCTATTGAGCTGAGATGTAAATAGTCCCGAATAAAGTACTAGTGTGTGTGTAAGCCTATCTGACTCAGTATTTGATAATGTCTCTCACCCAAGAGAGACGTTACAGTATAAAGGCTTGAGCCGGACTACTGGAAGTTGGTAAATGGTCGCCCCTAATTCACTGTAACATCCATCACCCCCCCCCCCGCCACTCGCCGCCATATCTAGGATGAGAACGGTAGCATAAAATGGCACGACAGTAGAGCGCGTGATGAATATGCATGACTATGACGTCACTAGAAGCTCATGAGTAATATATCACGCACGGTACTGATAGATATGTAGATGCACACTGTATGTGCTGCATCCCACCGATGATATCACATTTAACAAGTCCTCTTTCTACTGTCGCGCCGCCACCCTCTAGTGTCGTCCCACTTACCGATGATATCACATTTAACAAGTCCTCTTTCTACTGTCGCGCCGCCTCCCTCTAGTGTCGTCCCACTTACCGATGATCATCAAGTGGGACGACACTAGAGGGTGGCGGGGCGTCAGTAGGAAGAGGACTTGTTAAATGTGATATCATTGGTAAGTGGGACGACACTAGAGGGTGGCGGGGCGTCAGTAGGAAGAGGACTTGTTAAATGTGATATCATCGGTAAGTGGGACGACACTAGAGGGTGGCGGCGCGACAGTAGAAAGAGGACTTGTTAAATGTGATATCATCGGTAAGTGGGACGACACTAGAGGGTGGCGGCGCGACAGTAGAAAGAGGACTTGTTAAATGTGATATCATTGGTAAGTGGGACGACACTAGAGGGTGGCGGCGCGACAGTAGAAAGAGGACTTGTTAAATGTGATATCATCGGTGGGATGCAGCACATACAGTGTGCATCTACATGTATATCTATCAGTACCGTGCGTGATATATTACTCATGACTTCTAGTGACGTCATAGTCATGCATATTCATCACGCGCTCTACTGTCGTGCCATTTTATGCTACCGATGAGAACCATAATTAGAGCCACTGCTGATATTGGGATATTACTTATCTAAGTGAAAAACCACAATGAATTACGAGAACTTCTTCAAAATAGGGTCATGTTTTCGTGGAGGCTAATCATGGTGCTAGTGCCGAGGGGGGAAGAGGGAGGGGGAGGGGGTTGAGCCCGGTCTAGATCCGCGAATAGGCAATTACAATTGTTGATTAATGCGCTGTACACTACACGGATAACATTGCCATTTGGTATGAAAATGGATTTCAGCTTAAGCCTCGGTTTGCAAGTCGTGAAACATTCTTGATCAGTCTTGATCAAACTGAACAAAACAGAATTAAACAAAGTTCTGCTTTTCCTTTGAGTAATAAAAATGAACAAGTTGTTTTTAATAATAATTAGATTAAAATTATAATAATGAGGGCATCAGTAATGTGGTCAGTTACTTTTTCGGACAGGTACAAATGATGGGCCTTACCAGTACAGTTTAAGTTTCACAAAGTCGTACATTGTCATTCGGACTACAAATACTGGGGTGGGGGTGGGGGGGGGGGGGATACTAGGCTCAGCGTCGTGCGTCCTCAAAAGCGCCCTCATTCGACTTGATTTTTAATAAGACAGGTACCCAGCCTCATCCCGATCCATTATTGCAATGAGCAAACGTGATCGTAAAAAGCGGTGCGTCGGAGACCAGTCTTTCATTTACACCACGGACATGACGGATACATAACGTGTATCGTGCGCTTTACTTGCTACAAAAAGTGACAATAATATTTACAAATTGCTAGCTAAGTTGTAGAATATTAATTCGTAAAGTAACTATGGAGATCGGTAACAACGAGATGAGCAATAAGATAAGGGTAAGCAATTTCTCAGGAAAGAATGTTGCAACCTGACGCCACTTCAGCGGTTGTGTACAAACTCTATCATCATGTGTCTAGATGTGATCGACATGTCATGATACGCGCGCGTAGTAGGGGCCCTGTTTTGTTTCGATCAAATTAGAATCAATATTAAACTAAAGCAGACTTCTCTCAGGAAAAAAATTCCATACTGGGCCACCACTCATATTTCTTAATATGACTTTTTAAGGCTGAAATTAAGTGAAAAGTACCAAAAGTTGTAAATCTGATAAAGAAACACTGTAAGTGTTACTACTTAGTAGTTTTACTTTAAGGAGTGCAAAATTTCTTTGATACTAGTAATAGCTGAATAGGGAAAGATTTCCATATACGAAGTTCACTCAACACCCTGTGTACAAACCCTATTATTGTTGATGTACCCTAACGTGGCGCGGCCCCTAACGTGGCGCACTTTTATTTTTCGCCTGTAGCGCCTAGCTAGAGCAAAAGTTTTAACTGAAATTTCACAGAAAGTGAAATTTCATCAAGTTCTAAACACTCCCGTTCATAAATCGCGAGTTTATTTACCCATTACAAAGTTAAAAGAAAAAATTATTTTGGCGTGATTTTCCGATTTTATTTTCAAGTGCAAAGTGAACCCTTTGAAAATGCCCCGAAAAAATAAGAAAATCATTTTCTGACAAACATTTGGCTGGGTTTGTAAGTAAAGATAATAATGATTTATCAGAATTTATCAAGTTTACAGAAATTCTTAAATGTTAATTTGGAATTTTCTGAGATTTATTCAAGTGCGCCACGTTAGGGAACACTCCGCCAATTTGTGCCCAATTTCCGGACGCGACCGTGTTTGCATTTCGGATTAAATTTTATGAAACCGAAATTGTTCACAGAGGTTAAATAGCAAACATTAATAAGGTAAAAGTACCAGCATTTCACTGCATGAATTGAGGTTTATCAACAAAGAGGTTTGGCAACACTACACGAGGAAAGTTGGGTAAGCTTCGAAGTGCGCCACGTTAGGGAACACGACTATAGTATGAGATTGGACTGAAAATTCTAAGTGTTTTCTAAGAAAATGCTTGTATTTTCTCACTGCTCAAATTGACTTTGATGACATGAAATTGCTATCTGGGGGCTTGTTAGTCAATACAGAGGAAAATTAGTGAACTTCGCATATGGTAACTAACACTAACTAATAGTAATACTAACATGACTAATAGGCCTACTTTAATTTGTTCTGTCAATGGCCCATAGACTTTGTGCAGGAGCTCTGAGTGGTGGCCCAGTATGGAAGTTTTTCCTTCTCTCAATGTAATGACACCTTTTTGGTAATCTTTGAACAGTTTGGGGTAAAAATTACAATTTTCCGGCGCCGTTTACGGGCCGGTTGGTGCCGGCCGTGCAGCGCGACTTGCGTGCTCAGTCACGGTTCATCGCGCGGTGATTGCCATCTTTATTTTCGTGTTGCATTCTGACGTTGTCATCGTCATTTTTCCCCCAAAATTGTCCTCAAAATTCAAAACCCTGCCCTTTATCTATGACAAAATTTTGACATATCACATGACATGCATGACATACCTGTATCATGTTCTTAAAAAGGGAAGATACAACATTTGCAAACATCACAAAACGAAATGATCAAATTATCACAAAATGAAAAGAGTGCAAACGATGGTCTGTTTGCCGCTTCCATTCGTAAAAAAATAGCGTGTGCAAAAAAGTGATAATTAATAGAAATATCCCTTTTAGTTTTAAAGGCATTACATGTATTTGTACGCTTTCTGGTTTCTACATTTTGTACAGGCATACATACATGTAGAGCACTTGATCTATAACGAATTTGTACAAACTGTATTAGTTTAAGGCCTACTTTTTTAATATAAGTCTAAATGTAGTTGAAACTTTATGAAAAGCCAATTCTAAATAAAGATTCTGTATTTGTTTGTTTCTATCGTGCAGTGAATCCTGTATGCCGACACGTGCTCAATGCACTTACCGTGTGTAGTACATGTACAACCTTCAATGACGCCCATATATTCCTGCACAAAAACGCCATACTCTTGTCTAAATCTTCCCATGCCAAAACATGCACCTACATAGCATACAACAAGGAGTTTCAGGTTCCTATACCCATCATCCCACTAAACTGATTCAGTATTCAAAAATTTCCGGACAAAAAAAATCCAAAAACATTGATAAATTGCTTTGAAAAAAATGTATTGAATCAGTGATTAAAACCAAAAAAAACACTTGATTTCATCTATGTACATGTAGGCAACCTCATTGGTACAAATAAGACACTTTTGTGCATGGCTTGAGTGTAGTTATACGTTGTGTGTGGAATGTGGATATGAATAAAAATTAGGTTAGTTTTTTCAGGTTTGCCAAAAACTGTGAGGACAGGTATTCCTGGGCATGTGTACATGTACTTCATAAAAATGCTTCAAATTTCAAAACCGAAAGGAAAGTCCCCTCTATTAGGGTTATTGGACTCGCAAAACTAATTAACGATGTGGAAATCCAACAAGAATGTTTGTGGAAAGAGGGCAGGGTTTCATTGTGGGTAGAGCAATGACAAAGATGCCCCAACAAAATATTGATGCTATCGACACAAGAAAACCATGAAATGAGATTATTGTAAGTGTAGTGACGACTAAACTTTGATAATTTTCTGTTTTTCATTGCAGTCTGCAATTAAGGCCAAACTTGTGGATCTGGGATCATATGTTGGTAAGTAATCAAAAAATGGAATTTTGATTAAACAAACACCCCCCCCCCAAACAAAAAATCCCAAAGTGCTAAATTAATAACATTATTGGAAGGTTAATTTTATGTGTACACGTATACTTTAATGTTTCAACTGTCATTCTTTCAAAAAGCCATACACTTATGCATAGCCCGACTGCCTCTGGCCGTGCAGTGTACATACTACCGCAAGCTCTGTATTACGACCAGACAGGCAATGCTCCCCTAAACACTCAAAAGTGATGTAGCGATTTTGCTACCGATTTTGATCAAGATTAGCTTCTCATCAAGGACACAAATTTCCAAAGTTAGGGTACCTACAAATGTACAATGTACACTGAGTCGTAGAGGAACTCATACCTGTTTGAAATCATGTTCCTTTATCTAGAAATCTTCATCCATCTGGCCAAAAAACAACGATCAGTCATCAGCTCCCACAAATATCGTCTAAGAAATGTTCCTCCATGGGATTTCAAAATGGCGGACGCATTGTATTGCGGACGTGCTTGGGCAAGACTATGAATATGTATGGCTAGCCCTACAAACACACAGAGTTGCTGACTCGAGTCATGTGACTTGGACTCGAGTCGGACTCGAGTCGCTATTTTTGTGACTTGTGACTTGACTTGTAAATACCAGCTTTGACTTGTGACTTGACTTGGACTTGCAAACAATGACTTGTGACTTGACTTGGGATTGCAAAAAATGACTTGTTACCAACCCAAGTCAGACGCTACTCGAGCGACCCAATACACTTTAATTAAGCTATTATACTTTGAATTAGCTTTTTCATTCCAGAAAATAGACCTCATATCAGTGACTGAATCCAGTAAAAGGAATAGTTCCCACTAGTTTCAAAAGTTTTCAATAAGACTGTCACAACAAACTACAGTTTTCAATGACCAATTGTCTCTTGCTTAATGTATTGGTTGAACAAACTTTGAAAGGAACCTTTCATGAAAAGAAAGCAGGCCTTTGTCAATTGCATGTAAAATACCGGATAGCCTAACCCATTGGTAGGCATTTAGTATACAAGAAAATTGAACAATAAAGTGTTAGTATACTACACGTAATCGAGTGAGGAAGTCTTTTTTTCACGGTCATCTCAACATTTATTTCTACAATGTAAAGTAAATTTATTAAAGTATACAAAGGGCTTATATCCGACGGATATGTGATAAACTACAAGAAAAGTAATTGCAACACATTGAAAAAGGGGAATTAAGGAGGCATGTTCAAAATAACTCGTAAGTTCACGCCAGGTTCATTCTTTTAGCTTATTACAGCTGGACAAAATAATGTGCAACTTGACGTGTTCTTGGACAAAGATACTTGTGACTTGACTTGTTTTTAGACCAAATGACTTGTGACTTGACTTGTGACTGGACCTAATGACTTGTGACTTGACTTGTGACTGGACCTAATGACTTGTGACTTGACTTGGACTTGCAAACAATGACTTGTGACTTGACTTGGACTTGCAAAAAATGACTTGCTGCCACCTCTGCAAACACAAGGTCATGAACTGTGTAATGCATATTGAATTTTTGCTACCGATATTGCTACCGATAATTCAATTTAAAAAATTGTATTAAAAACAAAGCTTCTTATTTTTTAACTAGCATGTCTTTGCCTACATGTACACTATGCGTACTTGACTGTCTATACAATGTCATTGTCTATCTGCAGATGATGAGCTGCCAGATTACATCATGGTCATGGTTGCCAACAAGAAATCACAGACCCAGATGACTGATGATCTGTCCCTATTTCTTGGAAACAACACTGTGACCTTTACATCCTGGTAAGGCCGTTGTCAACTCTGTCATGTCTTACAAAGAATCCTTACAAAGAGCATGGCTTCTTTTACTAAGAGTTTTGTCGCATCAGACACAGATTGTCGATGCCATGTTTCAAGGGCCTTTTTTTATATTTGGCTCAAAATACCAATTTGGGATGTCATGGGAATTGCAGACGTTGAACACATCTTAAATCCAGCATATTTGGTTTACAACTGTTTTGTGATGTCAGAGTTGCAAGTTAGCATAAACTCTAGGCATGATTTCCTGGCATAATGCAAACTTTAATTTAATTAATATACCATTGTGTACTTAGGTGGAGCTGTGTATATATACATGTATTTACATCAGGAACTCATTGTATGTGAAACCCATAGAGCTATATTAAATTACTAGAGCGCTAACTCGCCATTCTGTGCGCGGAGACACTTTGAAGCCGTCCTGGGCACAGACATTTTGAATTCATGTGCATAATGAAATTAGATGGATTGAATTTTGAAAGTGTACTCTACATGCAACGCGCAAGTAGAACACACGCAAACAACTGAAGCGCGTTATTGACGGTTCAAAAAAACGTTATGGCAAAAGGCATCTGCAGCGAATACGTGCACGCGTTGCGCAGCATGCGTAGAGCAAAATGACACGCTCATTTGCTGATCGTGTCTTTCGGTTTTGGGCGTATTGGCTTCGATAACGCACTGGTATGGAATACAAACGCAGATATGCAAATAGCCGTACAAAAGCCGTACAAAATTTCTAGGTCTCCATAGGTTCGTGCACAAACATGGATGCGCCCAGCAGGCATTACTTTGTACACGAAGTTAGCGCTCTAGTAATTTAATATAGCTCTATGGTGAAACCCCGTCAAAACATAAGCACTTTGTCAAAGCCTCAAATTGCAATTCAGTGTTTTTGTTACTGAATGATTTCTAATGTCTCTTCTGGTATTGAACATTAACATACATGTACCTCGTGTGTGCCATGAAATTAACATGCATACCTTGGGTGTTGAACCATTCACTCCAAATATTAGGGCGAAATCATGCTTCCCTAACCCTCCTCAATCCTCCAGGCAGTTTTGCAGGAGTTTGGAGGATTGAGGCTGAATGGCAAAATAGTGTCCGTTGGAGGATTTTGGAGGATGCATTGTGTCGAGTTTTGAGGCTGCACCCATCATTGTTAATGTTGAGCCATGCTCATTTGAACTCTGCATTATTCTCAATATCATCCGCACTGCTTCTGAATGTCATCATGTTTTGAATTGGGCCTGAATTCAGCGTCCGAGACACGTTCTCACTGAGCCGATTGCAGCTACGCGATGTCGCGCACTAATCCGACGAATTATAGCAACTGCGTGTGCGTCGTGCCATTGCTTGCGCGCGCTTCGCCGAACAATAAAACGAACTACCAATTTAAATTTCCTACGGTGCGTCTCAAGATGTGCCTTGGTCAACCTTGATTCTCAGGAAAAGAGTCTTGGATTTAAAACGCGCTGCTCTTGTTGCAGGTTGCACAGCATACTGGATAAGCTGACAAAGCCCTCCCCGGATCCCAAGCCCAAGAAAGCCAAAGAGCATGCTGCCAAGAGTAAGAAGGCAAAAGAAAAGAAGTCTGTCGCTTCTAGTCAGATGCAACCCAAGAGAAGTGATGTCCAGCAAGTGCCAATCCAATCAGACAACACCTTGGCAGCAAGCTCCAGTGCTGCCCTATCAACTGCTGTGCAGGAGACACCGGTGGCGACTGTAAAAGTTGGTAAACCGGATCCCTCCCAGGACGTCATTTCCTTGAAGCCAGAAACTAACGACTTTCTGGATGAGGAGTTGGCACAAGAGGCAATGGTCTCTGAGGTACCTATAGATGTGATGTTTACACGGTTAAACTTTTACCCCAAAGCAATCAAAGTTCGTTCAAAACTTCCCCTAATGTTCGGGACCTTGTTGTCACTCAATCTATATTCAAGATTTATGTTTCAACCATAGAGCTATATTAAATTTCTAGAGCGCTAACTTCGTGTACAAAGTAATGCCTGCTGGCCGCATCCATGTTTGCGCACAAACCTATGGAGACCTTGAAATTTTGTACGGCTTTTGTACGGCTATTTGCATATCTGCGTTTGTATTCCAAACCGGTGCGTTATCGAAGCCAATACGCCCCAATCCGAAACGCACGATCAGCAAATGAGCGTGTAATTTAGCTCTACGCACACAGCACAGCCCGTGCGTGTATTCGCTGCAGATGCTTTTTGCCATAACGTTTTTTTGAACCGTCAATGACACGCTTAAGTTGTTTGCGTATGTTCTACTTGCGCGTTGCATGTAGAGCACACTTTCAAAATTCAATCCATCTAATTTCATTATGTTCTACGAACACGTACATGAATTCAAAATGTCTGCGCCCAGGATGGCTTCAAAGCGTCTCCGCGCGCAGAATGAGGAGTTAGCGCTCTAGTAATTTAATATAGCTCTATGGTTTCAACGAATCAACTTTACATGTATCTGTAAGCCTACTAAGAATTTTAAATGATATTTAAATTTGTGAACGTTTAGCAATACTTGCACACATACCATTTGAATTAAAAAAAAAAAAACCTCACAAGCCAGCACTGTACAAAGGCTCCTGCCTGACTGAGTATGTGTGCATCTCACACATAATGTAAGAGAGGCATGGACATGTGATCTTGGCCTGGTCCTCCGTGTGACCAATTTTGCACGGGTGAAGCTTTTATAAAGACTGGTGGGTTAGAAAGCATTCAAACATTTCAACAATGTGTGAAAGCTAATTCAACATTTCAATTCCCATCTTCTCGCCCAAGGTGAGCAAGAAACAGTCGGCAGTGGTCCCGCCCATTGCTTCAGTCAAGGAGAAGTCCTCATTCCGCATTGAGAAGAGCAAGGTGTCTCAAAGAGAACCCAAGGACAAGAAATCCCCAGTGTCACCCAGTGCTCCTGTGAGGGTGAAAGTTTCTCCAACTTTGCCAACGGTAAGAAGACCCTCAGCCATGTTGATAATAGACTCCGTACAGCTTATGGCAAAACAGTGTAAATGTGTGCATGTAATAAAACACTCAGAAAATTCCTGATAATATATTTGTGTTGTGATAAATGAGGGTTTTTTTACGGACTAGCTATTTATGTTTCACTGGAAGTTCAAAGATCTTCATGTTAAGAATGTTTTCTGAAAGGGTACATTTACAATGAATATGGAAAATGTTTTGAATGTTTCGTGGTGGCACATTTACAGTTTGGTTGATAGTATTTCTTTGGTGTGTGATCCTTTCCTGCTTGGAACACAAATTGAATTTCATTGCAGTGCCGGTAAAAAACCCAAATTTTTAATATGGTGGTTGAAGATTAACTCTAAGCCCTTGGGTGATTTACCAGGAACCTTCCACACTCTTGCAAAATCCAACACCATATAGTAAACTGTACACAAAACCTGTTGGACTCTGATTCTGGTGGTACCTGCCTAGCCCCATGTAAAAGCATAATCAGTTTACTAGTGCAGTACTCACTCCAACCGAGAATTCGCCTTTGTATGTTGTCTTGTCAGGGGCAGGAGGGTTCGCAACCCTACTAGCTTGGTCTGGCGTGGCCGGCCTGCCTGGCCCCCCCAAGTGTGGTCTTGTGAGGGGGGGGGGGGGCGGCATAAAAAACAAGTACTCACTCCAACCGAGAATTCGCCTTTGTATGTTGTCTTGTCACGGGCAGGATAGCCTTTCGCCAAGGCCATTGTGACTTAACTTTCCGGCATTAGACAAAGCGGCGAAAGAGCGAAGCGACTGGAGCGGGAGACCACACACGCGAGTAGCGAGTAGCGAAGCCACGAGGGCCTTTTTCAACTTGTCAAGAATTTCTTATGTTTTTCTTTATAATCTCGATTTTTGCTACCCCAAAAGGGTAGCAAAATTCCAACCAATCATCAGCCTTTTAGCGCGCTCGTGGCTACTACCTGGACGCGTCGATGCGCCCGGATGCTTGCACAAAATTAAAAAACAAAAAATGCGAGTCTAGTTTTCCACGAGATCGTGACCGCGTAATGTTTTTACATTATCTTGTTTTAATTTTATTTACAAAAGTATTTCAAGAAATTATTTGAGTGTATGAACTTATTTTTTATCTGAACTTACAGTTATTTGCTCTTACGTTTTCCTTACTCACCCTTCTTTCACAAATGGAAGCGACTAGGCAATATCCGCGTTGTGATTGGTTAACCTTTCAGCACTCTTTTTATTTGCATAAAAACTATGAATAATTCAACAAAATCAAGTTCGATAAGGCCTTATGGCTTTGCCACTTGTGCGTGCTGACTTAATCTTTGCTCCAGTCGCTTCAGGCTTTCGCAGCTCCGCTTCTATAAGCCACGATGGCCTTGGCGAAAGCGTGGTCTTGGGGGAGGGGGCCATCAAAAAAAAAGTTCTCACTCCAACAGATTACAACAAAACATGCATCTGGATTTTGAAGGGTTGGGAGTGGTTAGGGTTAACTCTTTCGCTACGGAATTAAATTTACCTTTTTCGTCCCAACTGGACGTAATTAAAAGCTGAAAATTCCGCCGAGCGTCGATGTGGGCGCCGCCATCTTTGAATGTATCTCCGTAAACAAACTGCTCACAATAACAAAAAGCACACCCCGGCCAGACGGAGAGCCGCTGGCAGCGACTCAAACTAGGGTCAGAGGTTATACGATATAAATTATGTAGATATGGCCCACGTCATGGGGATACCCTGTTTATTCATAGCGACGCAACCGAGCCGCTGCCAGCGGCTCTCCGTACGACCTGTACAATTTGTATGTGCCGCTGTCAGCGGCTCGCCGTAGCGAAAGAGTTAAAGGAAAGTAGGGTTTAAACACTTTGTTTTCTCATTACATCTCCAGTATTGTCAAGTGCAGTTCATTACTGCATAATTATTTTCTTTCAGTCCTCAGAGTTGCATAATATGCTGAATTTCCTGTTGTTTATTTCAAAGTAAGTCGGAAACACTGTCCCTATCAAGGGTAGCTTTTCATGAGACTATACTGACTGACATGTGATGTATCCCATGTGTCTGCTTTGTAGGCCTCCCGTAAACGCAAGGCTCCGGGCTCTGTGATTGGCCAAGTTCTAAATGTAGAAGACGAGGACAGTGATGAGCCTGCCAGCTTTGGCAAGAAGGTTGCCAGCACCGTGCTGCCCCAGAGGAGGTCGGATAATTGGGCCATGAGGGATTTTCCCAAACCTCGGTTTTGTCTTCCAGCTTTTGCTTCATCTCCCTTTGTAGAACCATTTCTGAAGTCTTTATGTCCAAATTGAATGGAAATAGACAAAATAAATTGCAGCCTCATTGCGTTCCAATTCCCTAACCTCAGACTGGATGTTGCGCAGACGACATTGCACTAATAGTTTTGTATACCATGGGGTCTTGCATACCCAAGTAACAGCCAAAAAGTAGAAACAAGCAAATTTGTCTACATTTATCCAGCTTAGGATTGCAAGGGAGGTAAATAGTGACAAAGAGTAAACAAGCCAACAACCTTATTGTCCAAACATGAATATTTTGATTATCCTAATGATAACTGATATTGACAATTTCTATTGAAATAGGATAATTTCTGTGAGCCATCAGCTCTGTGAGCCACTTATCAGAGATACAATTTCTATATTACATGTAAGTAATTTTTGAGTGGTAAGAGACAAAAGTAAAAAAAAAAAAAAGAACCCAAATAACAGATATTGGTTTGCTTTTACGTACAGACCAACTCTTCCAGTGGCTAAGCAGGCTAACACCTCCTTGCTGAAGAAGGCTGTCTCTGCCGCTGAAGCTTCAACCAATCAAGCTCTGACTGCAAAACTGCAACAGAAGGCACTCAAGATGGCTCCCAGACGCTTCAAGATAATCAGGTAGGACAGATGTATAGTGACTTTTCCTGGCAGCAATTGTTCTTTTTCCATGCTGTTGGGTTTCCCATTGCAGATTGGTCTATTACAGTCGACTCTCGTTTGTACAAACTCTGTCAATACAAAATTCTGGTTATGACAAACATAAAGCCTTGGTCCCGACTGTGCATTTATATGTACACAATGAATGGGACTGATGTTCCTCTTAATACAAAATTCTGATATAACAAACAATTTGGCTAGGTCCGAACGAGTTTGTTATAACGAGACTCGACTGTATATGCAAATCTGATGCATTGTTCTCAACAACACAAAGCCAGCAACAACACAAAGCAGTTTTATTCCAACCAAAAATATATTCCCCCCCCCCTTTTTTTGATGTCTGCAACCCTCTGAAGATCGCGAACAAACAGATCCACTAATCGAGCAGACTAGCTCCCGGTCCGTACATTATGGATACTGTTCGTGGGGCGGAAACCAGCCTACCGTGCGAGAATGGAAGTATTGTTTTGCAGCCAATAATTCCAAATTGTAAAGTAATAATTCAATTACCAAACAAGGGCCGATTGCTTTGGTCAATGTCTCATTCAAGTGACTAACTTTTGTATTGCTAGAAAAATAGCGAAGTAGAAAAGGAATCTATTTTTTTCGGGATGAAAGTTTGGAATAACAAGGGGATCACACTTTAAAATGATAAAATTAAAAGAGCACGAAACCCCTCTCTTGGATTCAGCTTGACTAAATGCAACTCATGTTTCCTTCTAACTACTCATGTTTCCTTTTAAAGGGAAAATACAACATTTGCAAGCATTGAAAAATAAAATGACCAAGTTTTTACGAAATACCTTACAGGATGTTGGTCAATGACAGTCTGAAGCATCCTGTAAAATTATGGCACCTGGTGTAAAGTCATTTTCAAGAAAATTATATTTTTGTTTACATTTCCAACGGTGGTCAGCCGACCACCGTAGGAAAAACCTAACTATTTTTCACTACTGCTCCAAATTTACAATTTTTTCAGTCCAATTTTGATAGCTAATTGGTTTTATGTTCATGAATGGGTGCAGGTCAGCTAGACTGGTTCCCTTAGCGTACAATTTTCCGGCATCTGTAAATTGATCCATTTCATCTTCAGTGGAGTCGGGGAACCAGACTACTTGAACATTTTTGTTTTTCTTGGTTTTTCCAGCATTTTCGAAATCAAAACTTCAAACATGTCAGTGTAACAATAATTTGATCTCTTATACTAACCCCTCAAATAGTTCATTTCTGAAAATTAAAGCATAAGCCAATGATGTACATTCCCTTTAATTCCTCAAAACTCTTCCCCGTATTCTTTATTCGTAAATACTTGAGACAGTTTACCCATTCCTTTTGGTCGAAAGCCTGCCATCTGGTGGTCTTAAAACGCTGTCTTAACACTGGTCAGTGATGTTTAATACCAGTCACAAGACACTGCACTCCACGCATATGCATACAGAATGCACTGTGCACGCCTACTACACCTGGGTGCCCAAGAACCACTGATATGATCTCCACATCAGAAGAATTAGATTTTGAGAGAACCAAGCGCCCGATGCGCACCATAGAAGTGGCCTGAACCTTGTTGAATTAAACGCCGTCGGAATGTTGTCATTTTGTTTTTTTTTTACTTTTTTGAAGTTTTTCTCCAAGGTACATGTATTTTTGAATGGGAATAATAATGTAGAGGAGCAGTTTTAAACGTGTGGTTTAAAACGGGGTAGGGGCCTGGTCGCCGAAAATAGCCCCTTGCCTACAGGGGCCGATTTCACGGCGCTGCTCAGCACAAAAATTTGCCTAGCACAAAAAAAGTCTGGTTTATAAAAGTAGGTTACCAGCCAAAACTCCATGTAATTTTTATGCTAAGCAAACAACAGTTGCATACTGATCACGAGCAATATACATCACGTGGAGTTTTGGCTGGTTACCTGCTTTTATAAGCCAGACTATTTTTGTGCTAAGCAAATTTTTGTGCTAAACAGCGCCGTGAAATTGGGCCCCGCTTGGGCCATTATGGGCGACTAGACCCTTAACTGGTTTCAAACCAGAGGTTGACAACTGCTCCAGGACACTATTATTCCTTTTTTACGTAACTAATTCTCAGAAGCCCTGGACATCTGAGAATATGCAGGTTTGCTGACGAGAGGGTGTCCTCAGTATTATCCTGCAAATTGGCCTCATGGCCACACTTTCTCAAGCCTGTGGTGATGTGGGACAGGTAATCTTTTTACCCCAGGGACGCACAGCACACACGGCCTTCTAAGGTGTACAAAACATGTGTGCCATATCACAGCAGTCGGCAATGATTGTTTTGTTATATTTATAACAGGAAGCAGCAGCAATCGCCTAAAAAGAGGAACCTTCTCCTGAAGGCAGTCCAGGAAGCTAAGGAGAGTCTGTCTGTCCCCAGGCAGCCCCAGGGACATGCTGGGTCTGCCCATCAGAGAGTCCAGGTGGAGATGCCTATGACGGGACTGGTGTCGCGCTCCCGCATCATGGAGCTAACTGAGCGAGACTATGACGCGCAGGATTTCATCACGGTGACGGCGGATCCTGCAACAACCTCGCAGCAGATCGAAGAGTATTACGCTGATGACGAAGAACAAGGTGAAAAACTGTCCAGTCATCTAATAAAATAAATTCATGAGTCCGTCTGATAATAGCTGCAACCTCTCATTTGGAATTTAGAGAGATGTTACAGGAGGACAATCCCAGTCCACCATAGCTAATGACTGGTTTTTATTTTCACGAAGAAAATTAAGTTTATAAAAAGATATTTGTATTTTACCCCCTCTTGGATGCTTGGTAGTTTCAGTTTTACACTTGAGCCATGCGTCTCTTTGGTGTGAAAAAAAATAACAGCAGTGGACAACTTTTGAATGTCAACTGGGGAGTTACTGACCATTCTTTCCGCCTATTTGCATTCTGCATAGCAGATGAAACCGAGAGTCCAGACTCTAGACAGATATGCCTGTCATCAGGGACCAAAACTGAACTTGTCTACGTGGTTGAGGATGACAATGCCGACCAGCGGGTTGCTGAACCAGTGTACACTCCGACCCCACTGACCTCCTGCCAAAGGTCAGTCTTGAGGTCAATCAATCAATCAGAGTTGTCATCAAGGCATCACAAGTCTTCACAAGCAGCAGCATTTTCTAAAAAAGTCATATCATTGGCGGACTTCATTGTATTTTGAATCAGCATGTCATTACTTTTCCCTCCTCAACCTAACCCCCAGATCCTTTAAAAATGCACTTTTGATTTTTGGAAGATGTTGAAGGAAATTGCGCCATTACTTGACAAGGATCTGGATGGCCCCTGAAAGCTAAAATGCACGAATGGTGTGTTGCTTTTCTGTACAGTGGTGGATTTTGGAGGATTCAGGGGGTGTGTTCGAGTGCGTTACTCATGCTACTCCTGAGGTGTAGGAAAATGTTGCGTGCGCATTTCTTTCAGTGCAAGAGTATGGCCGAGAGTATACTCGTGCTAACCTGTGGGTCGTACTCCTGCCGTTCGTGCGCTTGGGAGTATACTTGTCTTAACACCAAGTAGCACGTTCGAACACACCCATGACGTTCGGTTAGGTTCTTCATGAGAACTGTCGGGCCATATATGTTGTCAAACCCCAAATGACATTCTTGAAGATACTTTTTCCATAAAGAGCATTGTGACCTTTTCTTTGCAGTGAAGCGTCTGCGAGACCAGTCAGTCCCAAGTTCATTGTGACTCTAGAGGGCGCCACCCATTCAAAGGCCAAGACCAAGCAGCGAAAGTCAGCGAGAGTTGCACCCCGTCTCTCCTTCACGCGAACGGTAGATAACAGCATGATGTACGCTGACTTTGTTGAACTCCAGCAGCAACAGCAGCAGCAACAGCAACAGCGGCAGCAGGAAGAGGAAGAACTGGCCCGACTGCAACAAGAGGAGCTGGCTTTGCAGCAAGAGATCATACTGCAGCAAAGAAAACAACAGTTGCTGCAGCAGCAGCAGCAACAGCAAGCCACTGATGAATACCTCTGTGGAGACAGCCGTCTGACATTTGTTACACGGAAGCCCCATCTGGACGAAGTAGAAGAAATGCAGTTTACACTCGAAGGTATGACGATGAGAGAAATGTATGAAAAATAAGTTTTATTTATTTATTTATTTATTTATGTATTTATTTCTTGTTATTTTACCAGGGTAGCCCCATCAGTTGTCAATGAACTGTTCTCCCTGGGGGCCCTGGATTACCTAAAAACAAATTACAAAAAACACAATAAAAGACATAATGAATACATTCCCAAAAATAATCCAAGAAATTAAAACCACACAAAATTAAAACCCTAAATTACAACAGACGATATATAACCCAAGCAATTAAAACCACACAGTGATCATCAGTGATTGAGCCTCACGTCCACAATCACTCCCATGATATGAAGTGAATATCATTGGGCGTAACCAAAAGAAGTACAAGTGAGAAACCTTCGAAAGACGTTCCATGTCATTGTTCATCTTTTGTAATAGTCCTGACCTTACTTGCAACTAAGGTTGACAAAAGTTTGATAAACTGTCAAACAGCATTTAATTGCACAAGCAGTTTAATAGCCAACACCTTTTCACACACGAGCTGCCGCCTGCCTCGGTATGTGCGTTGAAGGTAGGAGATGCAAATTTAAAACATCAAACATTATCATTTGAATCTTATATGATGGAATTTTTGCGCCGGGGTGATATAAATCAAATTAGGTTTTGCCCTTCACTGACGTTTAAACACTGTATACTCAGTGTGTTACCCCCCGAGTGAAAGTTGGAAAAAATCACTTGGATGGGACTCGAACCCACGACCTTGTTGAATCTTGTTGACACAAAACCTGTACTCGCTGATCAAAGAAAAGTGTATAAATTTCCTGGGATGTGATTGAGTACTAAAATGCTTCTAATGCTTTGCAAATTGTTCGTACATATGCACTCTTGATCCTGTTTAATACAAAAACTTCATGGAAAATCTCATGAATAAAAGGACCCACTTTTTTAATGTGGGTTCAATGTAATAGATTGTGGAAATTTGTATATACATGTATATCGATTTTAATTTGTGTGTGTGTAACTTCACAACCTTACCAGTGATTTCAATTGTGATTGAGATATTCTATTCACAGCTTAGAAAAATGTGTGCTGTCAGTCAAAGTAGTGAATTCCTCCGTTTCCATTTACAGAGCCGTTTCAAGAGGAGGACCCCAGTCCAACAAAGAAGGAAAAATCCACGGCTGAGCGTTGTATGTTCTGGCCAGCATGTAAGAACGGCAGTGACTGTCTGTATGTCCATCCTACCACACCATGCAGGTGAGTGCATACATGTACCAGTATGTAACCAAGTTGGATAAGTTGTATTGTAAGCTATGTCCGGGGTATATCTTAAACCAGTCTTGTACAGTCAGTTCAAGTTCTCATTTTCATGATTATGAATGCAATTCGGGCGATTCACAATGCAGTGCGCCACCAAGAGTTTGCCATGGAGAGTCCAGTTTTAAAGTTTACGGTCGACAAAACATGGCCCATTTGAATGAGTGTCAGCAGACAACTTGAGCTAATTTGTTATAGATTGTGACATAGCATTTTGCCGCCTTACAAAAAAACACCATAGTGATGAAAAGAAAAGAAAAGGGCAAACGTATACTCGAATCATACGCTTACGAAACGACTGACCGGAAAAAGCAACAATTTCAAATGTCCCGCGCTGCGAATTTGTCGACCATCTCCCACACAATGCAATGGGAAAAATTAACTCTCTATGGCAAACTCTTGGTGGGGTACTGCATTTTGAATTGCCCGAATTGGTTTCATGTATACAAAGACAAAGGCTTTTTAGCCCTCATATGCAGACGCTTTAAGTTCTGAGGGTGGAATGATTATAGAAATGTCTTTAAAAAAAACCCAAATTATCCTATAAAACTCACCCAGATATAAGAGAGGTTTACATGGTGGCATACAAGTGTAGGTTGCTAGTGCGTAAAGAACTTTCCTCTCACCACTGTGGCCCTGGTTCGATTCCCGGCTGCGGACCGTATGTGAGTAGAGTTGTGCGTTGGTTCTCTCCTGTGCCACTTTCCGGTTTTCTTCCCCCCGGAAAAATCAAACACTTTCAAATTCAGGCTGTGCTCCTTGGTCATATATGGGTCGATGTGGCTGGCTGCCAAAGGCGCCACATGCCTGCGGCTCGACCACGTTGAAGCTGCTTCCTTCCCAATTCAGCTTCCCAGCTGCGAGTAAGGATGATTAGCCTCCCAAATTATTCTTCTTCTTATACGAGTAAATGGTACTTTAGGGAGACACGTTATTGCAATTTTTTTAATGGAGGGAGCCACCGGTCATAAGGGAGACATAATATGAAGGTAGTAATTATTATGATGATAATGATACTTACCCTGGATTGGACATTTGGAAGACATCCCCATAGACTTGTGCACAAAAATTTTCAAATTTAAATGTGCCCTAACCCAATATTCCCTTGTCCTTTTTCCACGAATTTCGGTATGTTTACTAATTAGACCACGTGCAACAAATATAATCTAATGGCGACTCCAAAAATTTTGCCTCTAAAGGGGGGCTGTGACATTAGGGAGACATGAAAATGTCTCCCTAATGACCAATGTCTCCCATCGTGCGAAGAAATTATGATAACGAGTCTCCTTAATGGTACCTTTACATGTATTATTATTATTATTACTACTATTACTGTAATAGGGCGACAGGTTTTGCGAACTCTGTCCACAATAGGGCGATACACCTTATTGAGGCGACAAAATAACTGTCGCCCTTTTATGAAAACGACCCTTAGGACAAGGACTGTTGCTGTCGCTAACCATCTAGATCGATTCCTCATGGTCCAATTAGTATAAATACTCAATTTCGTGGAAAAAACATAAGGTAAACTTGGGTTAGGTGACAGTTTAGGTTTGTGCACAAGTCTATGGGAAAGTCACCCTATTGGGGCGAAAAGAGTAAATATTATTATTATTATTATAAAGATGTACGGTAGCACATCTTAAAAACATATTTAAAATAAAGATCTTTAAAAAAAGTGACCATACGCAATTAACCTTCCAGAAAGGTGGTGTCCGAATGTCAAACATCATTTCATTTTGACAAATTAATGGGATTGGTTTGGTCAATTAGTATTGGGTTCCCAGTTGTTTGTCCCTGCCCTATCATCTTCCATAAGGTTCCCTGTTTGACATTTGATGATGGAGCACTGTAAAGGCCTGAAAAAGTGTGACCTTCATGTGTAAGGGATCATACTGAATGTCAGTTGCACGTGTACAATGTACACGTGCAAAAAGCAATGAATAAAAATATGCAATACTTGTATGTTATGAGATTTCCTGCTTTTCCTTTGCATACATGTAATGTCTGTTCATCCTGTGCTCTTGATCCAGGCATGCAACTTTTCCTCGGATCAGCTGATTTCCTCTTTTTTTACTTCCCATGTGTGCCATTGAAAATAGAAAAACACTGTACAAAGTCTGGGAAAAATGTGAATTTCCTCGTTTTGGGTGATTTTTCCAGTTGCATGCCTGTTGATCCCTTTTCTTGTACATGTACATGATGTACAACGTACATTTGTGACTTAAAATCTGAGATGAGCTTGCTCTATAAATTGTGAATTCTACACTGCCAGACGTCCAAAAATAAAATTACATAAAATCTAATATTTTTCCTAGTCAGTAGCTACAGTTGGTCCTTGTCTATAGCTCTTTTTTGTTTTTAGTAAGACAAGCCTACTGGAAGTACATTCTATGGCCCTAATCCAGTGTTGTAGTACTCGTACTCAGTACTCGTACTTGAGTACTTTTTTGGGAGTACTCATACTCGTACCACTACCCAAATGTCAAAGTACTCGTACTCGATATGGTGATACTCGTACTCGAGCAGCAAAGTACTTGTACTCGCACATGTCGAAATTGTACTCGATCATCAAAGTACTCGTACTCGAATTACAGTACTCGATAAAACAAAGTACTTGTACTCAAATAGTGGAATTCGATAAAAAATAGTATATCACTTACGTTACCACGGCCTTATTTTATCGATACTTTCATTTTCAATTGGTCGATTGAGGAGAAGTCAAAATTTTCTCTACTCTACACATGTCCAGACAAACACAATTAACAGCTAGCCGTGATTGGGACTGTATAGGTCTGACTGGGCCTGGGCCAATTACACACAATGACCCATTTGCCATACATGTATGTGGGCACACTGGCCAATCGTTGTACACACTGTATGCTGAGGTGTTCCTCAAAATAGTCGTACGATTAACTTGGGTGATTGGAGCAAAGCCGTTTTCTGAACCCCGGTTTCGGTCCTATAATACGGGTCCAGCCCCATTGCCAATGTGCATGAATGGAGAAAGAGACACAGCCAAAGCCGAGGTTTGAAAGATGGCCCCTAGTCTGGTTACAGCAGCAGGTCCACAGCGGCCTAGCCTTAAACAGAGGCCTACGGTACCAGTAGGAAGCAGACTAAATATGCCTAGACACCAAGAAAACGTGAATCTGCCGGGTTTTTTTGCATGCACGTAACACGTTGCATGTGAACTTTGTACGTGGACATTGTACGTGTACCATGGCACTTTTCACTTTTTTGTACCTAAATTGTATAAGTTATCTCTGCAGAACCCCAAAATACATGTATCATGTCGTCTGTGTCCACTGTTTGTCTGAAGTTTGGGTTCAAGGATCACAGGGAATTTGTCCAAAATGGCGTTAGTGCAGCGTGCATGTTTTGTGCTCTTCCGTGTTCGCATATCAGAAACATACATGGGAAAAACTTCGAACTTCATCAAGCTCATGCAGAAGAAACACCCTTTTCTCAGCCATTTGAATGCTTGTTGCACTTGTGTGTTTTTTTGTCTGAGGAATCCAAGGACCCGAAAATACCTGAATAATAATAATAAAAATGAAATGCACAACACTGTAGATTAATTTTATATAAATTGACAGTTGACCTAAACTTTCATGTCTGTATCTTAGCTGTGTAGTCTTTCCTTGAAAAATACATTTACAATGTACATTGATTTGAGACTGCTGTTGCCGATTTAAAAATCAAATTAATTTCAAATAACAGTACACATAATTTTAGGCTTCAAGCACAATGTACCCGATGCCGTATTCGGAAATACAAGTACTCGTACTCGTACTCGGACGTTCAAGTACTAGTACTCGGAGACCTGTTCTTGTACTCGGAAGCACAAGTACTCGTACTCGTAATCGGACTCGGCAACCTAGGTACTCGGCAGTACTCGGTACTCGGCAAAAAGTACTCGACTACAACACTGCCCTAATCCAAATTCCACTTCAACGGGATTTTCTTGTACAATGCAAGAGGATCACAGGGACGTTGATTTAAAAATTCCTAGAGTCATTTCTGGGATCTGACAGCCCCGTCTTTATATTACATTTTTGTAATATAAAACTTGCTTTCAACGATACAGAAAATTAACGGTGATGTCGAAAATGTTAGAGCGCCCTCTAGCGGCAGGTTGTTATAGATGATGATAGGTGAAAATTAATATGACGTCATCATGACGTCATCATGACATCATCACGTGATATGTGACGTCATAATTCAAAGCCATATTAGAATGTAATCACATATTTATATGCCACTGTTTTTATAAACAGAACTACATTGTTTGTACACATGTTTTCTGGATGGAACTTATACAAGTTTGAAACTTTACATGTCACATGTCACAAAAAAAGTTACCGAAACAGCCCTGTGTTTGTCCACAAACATAAATCTAGTTAGATTTTTTTTTTTACCAGATGGGCGAAAGACTAGTGTGCGTACATGTACATGTACATGTTCATGACGTATCTTTAGTCCTTTGTAATTTCCATAAAAGGAGATTCACCACCTTTTAATAGCTATCTTCAAGGTGTTTTTTTAATGAGAATTTCCATATTAAGGAACATGGCTAGAAGTAATGCTATCTTAAGTAATACTCTTGTCAGTGTTCTTATATTGTGTAATATGTTTTTTTGGTTTTTAATTTGAAGTTGTTAAGTGTTTTATACATTATATTTGTGTGCAGCACGAGGAGACAAGTTTCATGTTTTTACATGATGAGAATAAATAAATAATAATAATAATAATAATAATAAATAATTATGATAATAATCTTGGGTAAAAGCAATTATCATCATCACCATCAGACGACGTAGGCTGCTGCCCGCTGACGCAACAACCGTCCACTTCTTGTGAGTGTTGTGGCTGGTGCAGGGGTAATTTGGCTTTGGTGCAGTGCTACAGCAGTTAGTTCAGCCAGGCACGGTTCTATGGGGGGGCTAGGGGGGGGGGCTGTAGCCCCCCAAAAAATTTGTCTAGCCCCCCCAAAATAAATTCCGTAAAAAAAAAAAAATGCATTAGCAAAAAGAAGGATTGTGATGTACACGTATGCGAACGGTCTCCCCCTAAAGAAGAAATAGCCGTGACAAGGGTGCATTAGTTAATATAGTGTGAATGATTTTAGGATTTTATTGGCGCTCCCCATTGAAAATATGGCATGGTGCAGGGGTAATTTGGCTTTGGTGCAGTGCTACAGTAGTTAGTTCAGCCAGGCACGGTTCTATGGGGGGGCTAGGGGGGGGCTGTAGCCCCCCAAAAATTTTGTCTAGCCCCCCCAAAATAAATTCCGTAAAAAAAAAAAAAATGCATTAGCAAAAAGAAGGATTGTGATGTACACGTATGCGAACGGTCTCCCCCTAAAGAAGACATAGCCGTGACAAGGGTGCATTAGTTAATATAGTGTGAATGATTTTAGGATTTTATTGGCGCTCCCCATTGAAAATATGGCATGGTGCAGGGGTAATTTGGCTTTGGTGCAGTGCTACAGCAGTTAGTTCAGCCAGGCACGGTTCTATGGGGGGGCTAGGGGGGGGGGGGCTGTAGCCCCCCAAAAATTTTGTCTAGCCCCCCCAAAATAAATTCCGTAAAAAAAAAAAAAATGCAGTAGCAAAAAGAAGGATTGTGATGTACACGTATGCGAACGGTCTCCCCCTAAAGAAGAAATAGCCGTGACAAGGGTGCATTAGTTAATATAGTGTGAATGATTTTATTGGCGCTCCCCATTGAAAAAATGGCATGAGCCATTGCAAGACCACCCTGCTGCTGCAAGACCACCCTGTCGTACTGCATGACCAAGCCAAGTGACTTTCTGTTCCCAGATTGCATTGGGGCTGTGCCGAATATTCAAATATTCAATCAATTATTGAATAATTGAATATTTATTTTCGAATTTGAATATTCGGAGGTGAAATGCAATGAAACAAAAAGGTGGAAAAAAAATTTGTTAATAACAAAAGTGCATTCTCAACGTTAGTTTCAAGGTGTTGCAATAAAAGCCTTAAAAGCAGCTGGTAAATATGCCCAGCAATAGTGCCACACATACATGTATATTACTTCTGTTTCGGGAGTGCTTGCGGTAACCGGACCGACCCACTTTTTTTATGCAGGTCCGTGACCCTGATGCTTCCGAAAAGTTAAAACAAAACGTTTTGTCTTTCACGTCTTCACAAAACACTTCCCAAGTTCACGTCATAACCTCTAGCATGAGTAGTAACACAATGCTTATACTCGATCGTAACCCCATCTAACATGTCTAAAACACGTTAAAATTGTGCATCAGCAAGATCCAATCAAACCAGTGAGTTTGGCGGTATTGAGACATCATCTTACATTGAAAAAAAAACTTTGTAATTTGGTCATTAGTCTGCTCCCTTACATTCGTCTGCTCACTAATTAATGTTGCCGACGTGCATGGTTACGGCAACACGTGCGCGCACATACCAGAAACCGGAAACTTTTTTTTCCGGCCTTAAGAATATTTTCAGTGATAATTTGAGTTAATTTCAAAAATTTGTTTTCCCTCTTTTGATGACCTTTGGAATTAGCTCACTTTCTTGTTGATGGTTGAGTTTATATTTATTTACTGTCACGAATGACCACAGATTTTATTACATTTAATCATGTTTTCGGTTTCAGTTTTTTTGTCCTCTTTTGATGATGGAATAAAAACCACCGCTTTTCTACACAAACAGGACCTTTCCCAACTGCAAGTTTGGAGACAAGTGTTTGTTCATCCATCCCAACTGCAAGTACGATTCTCGATGCAGCCGACCCAACTGTCCGTACACTCATGCAACCAGGAAACAGAGCCACCCAACAGCGGTCAGTCCTCCTGCAGTTTTTGTACCACCCACTCAAGGTACAGGGTCATGTATGTATTTCCTAAAGTTTATTTTGTACTTCTTTTAAAGCCAGAGTCCATCATTTGCAGCCATCTAAAAAGTAACTGGCGTTATTATTGTTGAAAAACATACTTGGTTGAATGATAGTAAGGGGACTGAACTCCCTGTGAAATTATTCTTTCTGGCAAGCTGTCATTTTGAAGAAATCAACGAAAGAAGGCCTTTTTAATGGTGCTTCTTAAGAAGCACCGTAGGAAATTCAAATTAGTAGTTTGTTTTGTTATTCAAGCAAAGCGCGCGCAAGCATTGGCACGCGTGCGCGCGGTTGCTATAATTCGTCGGATCAGTGCGTGACATCGCGTAGCTGCAATCGGCTAGTGAGAATGTGTCTTGGACGCCTGATTCAGGCCCAATTCAAAACATGATTCAGCAACTTTTGATTTGAAATCGAGATCCTAGAATGTTGAATGTTGAACGGGTACAAGCCAGCTAGACTGGTTCCCTGACCTTACAATTCCCCAACGTCTATAAATTGCTCCGTTTCATCTTCAATAGGAAAATGATTGTTTTTCTTAGTTTTTATAGCATCTACGAACCCAAAACGTAAAAAAAATCAGCATAATAGTATTTGCTATATATTACCAAACCCCCCAAATCCATCCATTTCTGAAAATTAAAGCAAAAGCAAATTATGTACATGTATATTGCCTTTAAATATATTTAAAACAGCTTTCTTGCCATGTTAGTATGACTTTCCACTCCTTTGGAGCAGTAAAAGGGAGCAAATTCAACATTTTAGTTTTATGATAACGTGATGTCATTCAAGGCAGAACAGTAGTGTCTGTATAGCTCTGTGTACGAACTTTTCTTCATTTTCTTGGAGTATGTTCCACTTTGTACTTGTTTATCATATTAAACAGCAATTGTTCGGACGAGTAGTGGTCAATATTTCTTCCAAACTTTTTTTGTGGGTCATATACTCATTTTGAAGGATTAATTTTTGTACTGTTCATATGCACTTTTGACAAGGAGCACCTTGTGTGACAAAAGCAAAATAGCGCCCTGTTACATGTATTGATGAAAGGATTTGCTAATAATTGAAAAATTACCACTTTCTTGTCACTTCCAATGAAAACAATTGTTAAGATCCTGTGTGTATTGTTGCAACACATAGCAATATGCATAACAGCAAGATGAGCTGAATTTCCACTGCATGTTTCCTTATAACCCAAAAAGGGCTAGTTTATTGTATTACAGGAAAAAAGATGTACAAGTACATGACAACAAAAATCTTAAAATTCAGTGAATTGGTTTGACTTTTTTATACCCTTATCTTTTTTCTCTTTTTTTGTTGCAGCCCACGTGCCCCACAAGGTGTCCAAAGTGTGCAGATTTCATCCAAACTGCTCAAATGCCCAGTGCCCATTTCTCCATCCCAAGGTTAGTGATTCTGGCATAGAATTGAACATAAAGGGGCAATGACACCCCACTCACCCCCTAGTCTACATGTATGTACATTTGCCATGGTCTATGATATGTGAGCAGATTTGCTGATTAATAAGGCAAGACAACCGCCTATTGACCTCTAGATTTTGACCAATCAGCGGGCGCTTTCTATATCGGGTCTTCGGTCATTCACCCGTTGCGCGTCATAGACAGTGGATAATAAAAAACCTGTGTCAAGCGCTCTGTATCTTGTTATGCGCCCGGCAGTTGTTGTATTACAAAACACTGCATTCGAATTGACCAATCAAACCATTTAGGAATGATTGGGAATGAAATGACGTCACGATTTAGTGAAGTCGACTCCGGCTCCGACAAATCGTGGCTGACATTTTCTAGAAAAATTGTATTTTTCCAATGCTGGTCGGCCGACCAGTGTTGGAGAAAAATGTTTTTTTTTTTCAAAAAGTGCTCCTAATTTTCATAATTAGTAATTCCGCATTTTCTTTGCAATTGCTTACACACCTGTGAAGGGGTACAAGCCTGCCAGACTGATAATCTGGCCTTTCAATTCCCCAAAGTCTATAAATTGTTCCGTTTTGTCTTAAGTGGGGTCACGGAACCAGACTACAAGATCATGATTGGTTTTCTTTGATTTTCCAGCATCTACTAGCCCAAAACATAAAACAAGTCATTTTAACAATATTTGCTATAACATGCTAATCCTCCAAATCAATTTATTTCTGAAAATTGCAGCAAAAGCAAATGCAATGAAGGTGAGAAAGTGGACAGTTTCATTTTTATTGGCTGACTCTGTGCACCTGCTTCCCTGAAAAAGGGCAAACATCATTTTTGTTCTATTAATAGTTTTAACTTATATGTATTATGCCAAACAAAACTATCCTTCTGTTGCTTCATGGACTCTCCAACCCTCTGAAAAAGTTATCAAATTTTGTTTTCTATTCCTGTCCCTGCGAAGCTTTTTCAGTCGAGTGAAATCAAGTACCCGAGTGTTTAGAACGAAAAACACATTACATTTTATGAAACGAAATCACACTTTGTTTCATTTCTGACCAATAGATCTGGTATTTGTTTTATGCACCATCATTGCCCATTTCTCACAAAATCTTTTGCTGGATTTTGTTTTTGTCCACGCACCCCCTCATCCCAACTCTTAGATGTGTAACTTTGGACGGGGCTGCACTCGTGCTGGCTGTTCATTCACTCATCCTCAAGTCGCGACAGGAGCGGCACTCAAGTGGTCCAAGCAGACACATATCAGGTAGGATAACGGTTAACAAGTGCACCCTCTTTACGGATTTCCCTTGGTCAATCCAGAGAGCAGTGACCTCAGGTTCTGCTTCAGAGCCAGAGCTGACGATGGTGCTTATACAATGACACATCCAGTAGCGGTCCCAGGATTTTCAAAAAGGCACGGCTGTTCAAGTCCCAGGTTTCTTTGAGGGGGTTGGTAGATGAGGCATTGCAGTCAGTGCATAAAAACACCAATTGCCTGAAGCATTGCATGGAATATAGTTATTGACCCTAACCGAACTCAACCCCTCAAAGTCCAACAGCAGGTGTTGTTGAAATCTGTTAGAATGGATACAGTACCCCTAAACTGATGGTCTTTTACATTGGGTTTGGCATACCTCCAGAAACTAAGTCCAACAGTGTGTGTGAACGATTTCCCACGTGGGTGTTGGAATTTGCCTGGATGGGTATGGTTCCTAGTAAATTATGATAGGGAGTTAGGGTTAAAGATGTTATTCCGGGACTTCAAGAAGATCTTAAATCTAATTTTTAGTTTTTACCCCTCGGCCGAGAGGCTCGAGGGTATTGTCATCGCCTACAGCGTCCGTCCGGATGTCCGTCCAGGCAGCTTAGTTTCCGGATGATAACTTGAGTTAGAAATGTTGTTTGGGATTGTAACTTCGGTAGGGGGTTGCCCTTAGGAGTAGGCAAGTTGGGATTGGTTTTGGGGTCAAAGGTCAAGGTCACCGTGTTTAGTTAAAGGTAAATGGTTTCCATATGATAACTTCAGTTAGAAATGAAATTTTGGTGTCTAACTTCGGTAGGGGGTTGCCCATTGGTACAGGCATATTGGGATTAGTTCTGGGGTCAAAGGTCAAAGTCACCATGTTGAGTTAAAGGTTAATGGTTTCCGGATGATAACTTGACTCTGGCTGAGCTCTTTAGCTACACCCACTCGAAAGTCCAAATGCTCGTAGTTTCTAACACTTCACCCTAAAATCAAATTCTGGAACTTACATTGACATTGTTTATTTCCCTCTTCAGGCAAATATTAATTGTACATGTGTTTGCAATGGCACAGTCTGATTTCAAATATGTATTGCTCATGAATCTATTGAATTGTATTGATGTTACATCAGAACTGAAGTAATTCTGTATTGTACATATCCACCACTGTCTCTCTGATGGGCACTGGCATTGTGTACTAAAAATGTGGAGGATCAGGATTTTTCAAGATTGTGGTTTGGCATAAAGCCAAAAGTATTAACATACATGTACATGTACCTGTACTAAGATTTGTAACATAGTATGATATTACCGGTATGTCAGGTTGGGAAAGTTTGATATTTTTAAGTGGGATTAAAGGGAATATACAACATTTGCAAACATCGAAAAATAAAACTATCAAGTTTTTGCGAAATACCTTAACAGGATGTTGGTAAATGACAGTCTAAAGCATCCTGTAAAATTATGGCACCTGGTATACTGTCATTTTCAAGAAAAGTGGTATTTTTGTATCAATTTCCAACGCTGATCGGCCGATCAGCGTTGGAAACAACTGGCTTTTTTTCAAATACTGGCCCCAATTGACCATTGCACTTGTTTGCAATCGATTACAAACCTATAAACGGGTACGAGCCAGCTAGACTGGTTCCCTGACCTTACAATTCCCCCAATGTATGTAAACTGCTCTGTTTCTTCTTATATGGAGTCAGGGAACCAGACTACAGGAAAATGATCGTTTTTCTTGGTTTTTATAGCATTTTCGAACCCAAAACCTCCAAAAAGTTAGTGTAACTATATTTGCTTTATATTTCCAACCCCCCAATTCCACCCATTTCTGAAAATTACAGCAAAAGCAAATGATGTATATTCCCTTTAATCTACATTGGTTTTATGATGTCCCAATCATTTTTCAATCTGGAGAAGGATTACTTGCTTTCTAAAAAAAAAAAAAAAAAAAAAAAAAAAGAATGTTATCACATGTATACAGTATGGTAGTTATACTTTTTAATTTCAGTGGTACATATGCATGTGTGTTATACCAAAAATTGACTGTTTATAAATGCAATGATAACAATAATTTCATGGTGTGCAATATGGAGCGTTCCATTATTATGAAGCCGAGTGGAATGGAACATTCCATCTGTCACCAAATCAAAATTATTTTCAGTATTGCACCATTGTAATTGGAAAACATTCATTAATTGTTTTAAACAATGCCTGAATAAATCCTTGTCATCTGTTTAGTAAGTTCTTGTAAACTGGTACTATAAATGTACCTCACCAGAGCGCAACCAATAGCGTTAATGTGCAATGGAAGTTCTATTTACCGTGAAATGGAACTTCCATTTTTGCGGTGTGGCCCTGCCATGCGTCGGGATAAATAATACCATGACACGTGATGAAAGACCCACCAATCAGATGGCGGGGATTTATTCAGGCATTGTATGCTTACTGTTACTGCCCCAGTTGCATGTATTTTTCAATTATCATTCCTGATGATTCGAGTATATCGGTGGCAAATACAGAAAATGCAAGAATATGGTAAAAGAAACCCTGCAAAACAACTTTAAGATTCCAGACTGGGGTCAAATATTACAGGGCAGCTGCTATAAAATTAGCTTAGTAACCATTGGCTGTGTTTTGAGCAGAAAGAACGTGACCGAAGTAAAGAATGGAAAGCATTACAGAAATGTACATGTATTGGATGGGACAAACACGGAACCTTGCGTCGAGTAAGGCCAAATAAAAAAACAAAACATGTTTAGCGCCCCCACCCGCTTCCTTTTTGGAGGCTGCCTCCTTTCTTTCTTTTTTTACCGAAAAAATGATAAATTTTAAACAATGACATCATTTTGGCCTCTTTGTCTGTTGCATCTAGCCCATATAAAGCTGGTATGTCATTTCCTGAGTCCGAGTGACGGCCATTTTTAAAAAAAAGCTGGCAGCCATCTTGAAAAAATAGCTAGGTCGGGCGGCCATTTTGGAGGGGAAAAAAGAAGAGAAAAAGGGCCTCCTTCATTTTTTTTCAAAACCTATTTGGCCTAAACCTTCAGGTAAAATGTGGAAAGTCGCAAGGGTGAGATTTCATATAAATTGACAGGACCGCTGCTACCATATACATGCTCGTCTTACATTACATAGGCAGTCGGGCACACATGTAGAAACGGACTGTAATTCTGAAAATATTTTCACTGTTGCATGGACGTGACCAAAATAAAGATTGGAGCATTATTTTACTCTAAAAAAGCTGCAAGCATGTCTGTGGGCGTCATTTGATGTGTAACAGACAGGACAGAAATGGAACCTTGGCTTTGAGTAAACCTGCAGAAACGGGGATAGTCATAAGGCTGTTGTTGTGCACAGTGTAACGTAGGCCCAGTAAGTGACAGCTAGCTATGTGCAAGCTTTAGCGTGCAAAGGCTGTGTCATTAAATGTGATAAAGTTCAGTTGAAATTGCACTACAAACGTCGATAGGTGAATGACAGGATGAAGAAAAAACTTGAACAAATAATTAATCACACGATCTCGAGATCCCCCGAGTTTTATTCAGATATTAAACTTCCATGTGCTTTAGGCCAAATAAAATTTAAAAAACCTGTTTAGTGTCCCGGCCTGCTTCCTTTTTGGAGGCCCCCTCCTTTTTAATTTTTTTTAACCCCCCAAAATGATAAATTTTAAACAGTGACACAATTTTGGCCTCTTTATCAGTTGCATATAGCCCATCTAAAGTTGGTACGCCATTTCCTGAGTCCAAGTGGCGGCCATTTAAAAAAAGCTGGCAGCCATCGTGAAATATAAACGGGTCGGGCAGCCATTTTGGAAGGGAAAAAAGAGGCCTCCTCCTTCGTTTTTTTTTTTAAGGCAGGACGCTAAACATGTTTGTTTTTTTACTTGGCCTCATCACATGTAGGTAGAGCTTAGTTAGCTTTCATTTTCATATACTATGTGGTATGACATCTTGATGAATGTGGACATTATAAGTGGGTATATATCAAGCGATTTCTCTCACACAAGAACTTTATAAAAAGGTTTGTATTTAGAAGTGTGTCCTCTATCTACCTTGGGACGTCCGACTGGATAATCTTGCGAAGGAACATGATATCTCACATTCCCTGACCACGTCCAGAACTACTTGTTTAAACATTATTTACGGTGTGTTCTACGAAGACAGTCATCGATTCTTTTTGTTAGGAGGATTTAGTTGGTCATTACTTGAGATTTCATGAGACACGTACCTAAAGGAGATCTAGAGTACATACTGGAGACAACGTTGATTTATTCTCTGTACATCATGTCCATAATTTATGTCTGGAAAGTTGCAGTGTATTGAGAGAGTTGCAGGCAGTGACCTTTTAGGTAACATGACTTTGAGATATCAAATAACAGGACTAAACTAGGCAGAAAGCCTCTTATTTAAGACGTGAAGACTAAGTTTGAGCAGTTTTGAAGGTTGTGTCGTCTTTAAACCGGATGTCGCATGAAGTTTTACATCGGGGACGTTTTCAAAAATAAAGAACGCCAACATGTTTTCGCTTGCAAGAGTTATTTTTGAAACGACTGTTCGCAGATGTTCGTAAAAACATTTCCTTTGTGATCAAGAGTGTTTGTCCAAAAAGGTATGTACAGGGTGATTAAAAAAAAGCGAACCCCAAATGTCGGGACTTCTGTTTTAGTGAAGTTCTGCATGTAGCACTTCCAAAATCTGGGATATGAAAGCGCAATTCATATAAGCTTTCTTTTAGTATAAAAATAATTCACCGCCGTTTTAAAGTTCTTTCCACGGATCACCAAAAAAGGTGTGCGTTCTATCAGCAAAACAAAACAATTCACACATCCCTAAGGGATCTGTTTTCGTTTTGCTGAAAGAACACTTACCTTCTTTTAATCCGTGGACAGAACTATAAAATGGTGGTTGTGTTTAAACCTTCTTAACTTGAAAATTACATGATTGATTTGAATGATTCTTGCACTAACATATGAATTGGACTTTCATATCCTAAATTTTGGAAGTGTTACATGCCTAACTTCACTAAAACAATGGTCCCGACATTTGGTTGTTTTTTTTTTACTCGCCATGTATTTTGCTCAACACTGCGCAGTCGCCCGGATCAAAGGGTCTGTCAGCTCCAAAGAGTAAATTGAAGATGACTTTGCTTTTAAAACAACTCGGAATAACACACTACACGTAGAAATTCTAGTCTGATTGAGGAGCAAAACGTTGTGTGTGCTTTGCCAAATTTATGTTTTGCCTACGTAAATGCTGCAATTAAAGACTAAGAGATAAATTCCCATACAGAACAAGAACAGCAATATGAAGTTATGAACAAAAGACTTCTTAAAGTCATATGATGTTTGTTAGATTTTGCACTGACAGATATTACTATAATCCGGTCCATACTTCATGCAAATACGAAGCGTCACGAAAATTCGTCGGAGGTGAAATGTGTTCATTTTTTTGCAAATTCACAGCGCGACCGGAAGTTGTGACATCACAACTTCGCGTTCGCGTTCGCTTTCGGGCCGAGTATGAATCGGCGTTTAGGGCAGCAATGGATTTAATTTAACTACTTTAAATTATTTACTCTTCCTGTTTTGTTTTCCTGTTTACATATTGACCACATAGTGCTAGATGAAATAACCACGGAAAATAGGGATTTTGCCTGCTAGTTTTTACGAGCCGCATACGTATCCCATACATGTACGTGTATGTACGTACCATTTCTAATGGTCCCTATTTTTACAAGTACGCGAGTATGATTTTGAAGGAAAAAAAGGACACGAACATGGGCGGCGAAGGGGGGATTCCCCCTCCCTCTTAATTTTTGGGCGGGAGATACCAATGGCGATGTGCCCCCCCCCCCCCACCGCCGCTCCTATAATGTATACAGTGCGTATAGATCATACCCAATGTTCCAAATTTGCACCGTATTAGCCGCAAATGTTGTTATAGCTGTAAGATACTGCTTGTGCATCACCCCTTTTTCACGGAAATTGCACAATATATTTGGGGATAAAGGGCGTAAATGCGTATAGATTGTATTATTTACATCAGGGGTGAGATTTGTCAGAATTTTTCCTAACTTCAGGATTTCAGGATTTGGTTTAAGAATCCAAATTTTAAATCTAGAATTCTGGAGGTAAAGTTGAATTCTGAACCGTAAAGGTGTTTTTACCTATAAACGTCTATAGGCCTATAGGGCCTACCAAAAAAATTGGTATGTTGTTAGGGGTGCCTTTATGCAAATTTATCTCAACATTAAAAAAAATCACACAGACCCTATATGTTACTTTGGGGCCCTCTGTGACCCTCACACCCTCTGCCAATTTTTTTCGTGGATTTTTCATTTTCTCCCAATGTCACCTCTGGTACATGTTCATGAAGCCATCTTTGAACAGCGCCCTCTGTATTCAGATTGTGTCGAGTCCCCCCCCCCCCCATTAAAAATTCCAAAGTTGCTCGCCCCCCGTCCCTCATTAATGTTGACAAGAAATCGCCGCTGCTGTATGGGTACTCGAGTACGAAAACACTGTTCTTATGTCTGGTTGTTTTTGTTTTGTTTTTCTTTACAGTGACAGACCATTCGTTGCGAAGGATTCATCAAAATAGCCGATGTTTGGTTTCAGCCGCAGCAAGTGGTTTGGTTGCGATGTTGTTTCAATATTTTAATGAGTTTTGGAATTTGTATTTGGTATTTATGTTATTTTTACGTTTCACAATTGTAGCTACACGTATCACATTTGATATTTGTATCTTGATACTGCACACTACATTGTGATATATCCTGTACATTTCTAGTGCGCTTTGTATTAAATCAGTTTCTTATCGCAGTAATCAGTGATTATATATTTTCTATTTCCTAGAAAAGGGCTGGTTGAAAAATAATTTGAAAAGTGATTAAAACAGCTGCAAACTGCTTAGCCTACTGACTGAATGGAGCTAAATTGAAGAAATCTAAAAGTTGGACCATGCTTAACGATTCGATCCTGACAAATGTAGCAGGTTTGAAATATTAGGCCCTCTTAATTTTTTTTTTTTTTCAAAACAAAAATGTTGCTTGAATTCGTGAAATGTACTTGCGAGAGAAAATTACCTTAATATCCAATCTTTGTAGGTCTTTGGCTTTCTAAAAGTTGTTCGAGGGCTTTTCTGTAAAAAATAAAGTTTGCTCGAATTCGTGAACTGCACCTGTGGGTGAGAAATGAAAAGAAGTCTATCGTAGGTAAGGTATGGGCTCCGTGCGCGGACAAAGAGGGCGCCCTTTTACCTAGCAACGACGTCCCATGTGCGGGACATTTTGCTGGTTGACGCGCACCGTTCCTTGTGTGTGACGCACGTACACCAGGGGATTTGTACTATTTACACGGGTACGCAGTGGCCGCGCTCCGCGGCAAATGAATTGCAGTAAGGCAAGATGGCGTCAGTCGGTCACCCCCAACTGTACTCTCTTTGCCGGTGAGGGGGTACTTGTGAACAGAGCGGATTGCCATGTGATACAGTTTTGAATACTACATGTATCTTGAGAATTATGTTTTTACTTAAGTATTCAGAGGAAAGTCGAGGAATGTGGTATTTCCATTTTGTCATCAAGATGTTCATGAGTGATTTAAATCAAAGGACCTATAAAGATGTATTGTAATTTTTTTCTAAACTTTTGTTCACTAATTGTGAAATAATGTTAAAGGGAATATACATCATTTGCTTTTGCTGTAATTTTCAGAAATGGATGGAATTGGGGGGTTGGAAATATAAAGCAAATATAGTTACACTGACTTTTTGGAGGTTTTGGGTTCGAAAATGCTATAAAAACCAAGAAAAACGACCATTTTCCTGTAGTCTGGTTCCCTGACTCCATATAAGAAGAAACAGAGCAGTTTACATACATTGGGGAATTGTAAGGTCAGGGAACCAGTCTAGCTGGCTCGTACCCGCTCATAGGTTTGTAATCGATTGCAAACAAGTGCAATGGTTAATTGGGGCCAGTATTTGAAAAAAAGCCAGTGGTTTCCAACGCTGATCGGCCGATCAGCGTTGGAAATTGATACAAAAATACCACTTTTCTTGAAAATGACAGTATACCAGGTGCCATAATTTTACAGGATGCTTTAGACTGTCATTTACCAACATCCTGTTAAGGTATTTCGCAAAAACTTGGTAGTTTTATTTTTCGATGTTTGCAAATGTTGTATATTCCCTTTAAAAGAAAAGGCGCCAATAAATTAATTTAATTTCAATTACAGTTTCCAAATAAACAGATTTTTATTTTTCATACATTATCAGCCCAGAACAACAAATCCATCCACAGAGTAAATGTGTAGCCAATATCTTAGCGCGTTTTAACAAAATTAAAACAATACACATGTATTATTGGAAGACCAAAGAGTACGGAGTATATAGTAAGTGTGACTTTCATTTTTCCCTTCGAAAAGTCAGCTTTCCTCTTTGGATGATGGTGTCATAACATTAGGACTCCTATGAAATGTGGTTTCTTTTAGGCCAAAAAAATAAATAAGTCGGTCTCTGGTCAGCGCGCGCGTCGATTTTAATCATGCGCGTCAATCTTTTTTTTTCAAAAATGATTCGCGTCAGCTCCAACAGCGCCCTCTATTGCCGCACCTCCTCAATTTTTTTTCCCAAAGAGCCCCAAGGAATGGGAAATTGCACCAAGGCAAATGATCGAGAGCACCAAGGCAAATTATGGACACCAATGTACATGAGGACACCAAAAAAGCAAACTAGTACCCCACCTAGTCTGTACAATCCAAACTTGAAAAAAAAAAAAAAAAAGCCGCGTCCCCGCGACAATTCCGGAACTTTGGTCTGACCAGAGACCGAATATTTTTTTTTTTGGCCTTACCTTGGTCTCCAACCCTTACACGAGACCCGTCAGTCACTCTCCTTGGTATGTTGTTAGGGGTGCCTTTATGCAAATTTATCTCAACATTAAAACAAATCACACAGACCCTATATGTTGCTCTGGGGCCCTCTGTGACCTTCACACCCTCTGTCAATTTTTTTGCGTGGATTTTTCATTTTCTTCCAATCTCACCTCTGGTAATGTTCATGAAGCCATCTTTGAACAGCGCCCTCTGTATTCAGATTGTGTCGAGTTCCCCCCCCCCCCAATTAAAAATTCCAAAGTTGCTCGCCCCCCGTCCCTCATTAACCCTAACTCCCTAGGCCTTTTTGCTAGGATGTAGCCTCAATCCTGCAAAATCCTCCAATTTGCAAAAAGGATTTTGGAGGATTCAGGGCGGTTAGGGTTAATGTTGACAAGAAATTGCCGCTGCTGTATACTCGAGTACGAAAACACTGTTCTTATGTCTGGTTGTTTTTGTTTTGTTTTTCTTTACAGTGACAGACCATTCGTTGCGAAGGATTCACCAAGATAGCCGATGTTTGGTTTCAGCCGCCGCAAGTGGTTTGGTTGCGATGTTGTTTCAATATTTTAATGAGTTTTGGAAATTGTATTTGGTATTTATGTTATTTTTACGTTTCACAATTGTAGCTACACGTATCACATTTGATATTTGTATCTTGATACTGCACACTACATTGTGATATATCCTGTACATTTCTAGTGCGCTTTGTATTAAATCGGTTTCTTATCGCAGTAATCAGTGATTATATATTTTCTATTTCCCAGAAAAGGGCTAGTTGAAAAATAATTTGAAAAGTGATTAAAACAGCTGCAAACTGCTTAGCCTACTGACTGAATGGAGCTAAATTGAAGAAATCTAAATGTTGGACTTTGCTTAACGATTCGATCCTGACAAATGTAGCAGGTTTGAAATATTAGGCCCTCTTAATTTTTTTTTTTTCAAAACAAAAATGTTGCTTGAAGTTCGTGAAATGTACTTGCGAGTGAAAATTACCTTAATATCCAATCTTTGTAGGTCTACGGCTTTCTAAAAGTTGTTCGAGGGCTTTTCTGTAAAAAAATTAAGTTTGCTCGAATTCGTGAACTGCACCAGTGGGTGAGAAATGAAAAGAAGTCTATCGTAGGTAAGGTATGGGCTCCGTGCGCCGACAAAGAGGGCGCCCTTTTACCTAGCAACGACGTCCCATGTGCGGGACATTTTGATGGTTGACGCGCACCGTTCCTTGTGTGTGACGCACGTACACCAGGGGATTAGTACCAAAGATCTTATAGCGCCGAAGGCGCAAGATGGGGAACTCAATAGAAATTGTGAAATCGCCATGGGCGCCATTCGAGCAAGCAAACCATTGTTTGCACATTGGTTTGCTTACTCGAAGCAAACCATTGTGCAAACAATGGTTTTCACAATGGTTTGCTTACTGGAATGGCGTCCATGACGATTTCGCAATTTCTATGGAGTTCCCCATCTTGCGCCTTCGGCGCTTGAAGATCTTTGATTAGTACTATTTACACGCAGTGGCCGCGCTTCGCGGCAAATGAATTGCAGTAAGGCAAGATGGCGTCAGTCGGTCACCCCCAACTGTACTCTCTTTGCCGGTGAGGGGGTACTTGTGAACAGAGCGGATTGCCATGTGATACAGTTTTGAAAACTAGGGCCTACATGTATCTTGAGAATTATATTTTTACTTAAGTATTCAGAGGAAAGTCGAGGAATGTGGTATTTCCATTTTGTCATCAAGATGTTCATGAGTGATTTAAATCAAAGGACCTATAAAGATGTATTGTAATTTTTTTTCTAAACTTTTGTTCACTAATTGTGAAAAAATTTTAAAAAGAAAAGGCGCCAGTAGTGATGCCCGTCTGTATAGTCGGTTTTACGTTATCACGACCACCCTCTCGGCCAATCAGAACGCTGCATTTAGCCTCATTAGCATAAACCATGGCAAGTTTGAGGAGCCAGCTGGACTGATCGATATGTGTAGGAGGGGTGTTTATTTGCGTAAGCGAATTTAAAACCAGCGATAACAATAGACAATATTTATGAAATCGTATAATAAAATTATTTGTTCGTTTAATGAAATATACGAAACTATTTTATTGCCTAATTGAAGAATTTAATCTTTCAGTTAAATTTTAGCAACATATTACCGAGCACAGCGAAAATCGTTCAGAATGGAACAACCCGTAAGATTTGTTGTGAATGACTCATCAGTCTATTGTGCAATCGGACGGACAGTTTGTACGCGTACAGACATGCTAGAGTTTCTTCCGGTTGAGTTTTATCGCTGATAAAAAAATGAGTTTATGTATTCGAAGTTGTGGTAAACAAACACTCACCGTTGAACAGCGTACATGCATAGGGACAAAATACATAACATAAATTTACATATAGTACAGTAAAACGTCATATATACATCTGAATTGAAGAGATTTCTCAAGCCGCATATCATACTCGTGCCTGTTACCACTCTATCATAATAGCCTTTGTACTCGAATGGGGGAATCCAGTTACGTCATAGTGCTGACTCATCGAATGATGACAAACAACCGGACAAGTCCGGTCATGTGCATTGTCCGCGGTGTTTTTAAAAATCTCCCCGTATGGAATCGTTGTTTGTGGCGCTGGCCGCATTGGTATTTAAGAGAACGTTAGATACATGTATATACCGCGCTGTACGTCCATGCTGAGCTTGAGATTTAGCGTTACCGAGGAACAATTTGAGCATAGTATTGAATTATGAAGAATCTGACGTTGACGACTCAGTCATGGGAAGCTGATAAAAGGATTATCGTCACCGTTATATAATCGCTTCAATAACAACCTGCATTGTGAACATATCCAAGCCATGAATGGATTCAGGGGCCATCACATAATTATAATGTCATTGGACTTAATTGCTGGTCAGTTTTGTGCACGTGGAGCGCTGTACTGTTGATGAGGGATGACGTATGGGGCCAGGGTAGTCAACAGATAAAGCAAATAATAAGTAATTGGGTTTAAGATAAATAAAAGGAAGACAATTCACACTGTATTTTCAAGGATTATTTGAGAATTTTTTTATCATTATCATGCATACAACTTTATATACGTGCACTAATATTATGCAGTCATCATAAATTGCCCGTTTTATAATTTTAGACCTGAATCTAATAATATTGTCTTTTGTACCTGACATATACCGGTTTACAATACACTGTCTTTTTAAAGCCACATCGTATATAGAACCCACACAAGTTTAAATCTCCATGCATATGGGCATGCTCTTCTTCTAAGTTCAAGCGTCAGCGGACCCAATGTAACATATTTTTAATACTAGTATGAACTTATTCGTCCATGGTAAAAAAAAATATAGCCATAAGGAATTACTGTATAAGAGTGATAAGGGGCGACTATTTCAAATATTATTTTTTCCTATAAGAC